GAACTTTGAGCAAAGTAATAGAGTCGGTGGGTGGAAGGGGAATGAAGCGGCTGGTCGTGGTCGTACGTGCCTCCAAGTAATATAAAAAATGTGACCCCAGAGACTTTTTTAAACTCTGAGCTTGATCACGCTGCTGAGATGAAGTCATGTCAAATAAGTTCATAATAATGTCTCAACCTCCGCTTTATTAATGCCTACGCAGCTATGTACCTGACCGAATCAAGTCCATATATTTTACTTTATTCCCTCAGTGAAACTTTTGTGGGAAAAGCAGAAAAGTGCAAATACTGATCGCACTGAATGTATGTACAACCTACGGACGGAATGACACCACGATTCCATTTTTTGTTCACCTCCTCCACTTTTATTTATGTGGTCAGAGACTTTGATCGATACTCCAAAAAACCATATGGATCAATTCTGTGACGAATAATAAAAAAAGTAATGTCGCGAGTATTCCTGGAACACTGCCAAAAAAGACGACATTCAAGAATATAAGAGGTGATTGACAGGGGGATGCAGTGTTACTGCTGCCCATGGATAAGTATTAAGTGATGGGCTTTGGTGTGCATGCAAGTGATGATCTAATCGTCACTAATTAAACAAACCTGCTACTACTGCTACTCTTCCGAGAGCGGAAAGTAGTCGTGGCCAAGAGTGACTTTGTCTCGTCGAATGCGTCTCCTTCCTCCAAATCGTCTTGGGGTGTGGCCAGTGTGGTTATCGTGGTCGTCGTAGGAGCAGAATTCCCACCCTCGTCCAGTGGCATTTTCAAGTAATTACTCATCTTATCGATGCAACAAGAACTAAGAACAACTAGTAACTAGCACTATGATACATATATCACTATTCTAAGTCAGCATATGTATATAAAGGAAGAACAAATGTCATAAAGGATGGGTACACACATTGATGGCAAATATCTTATAATTTGACGAGTACAGCACAGGCAGGACACGAGGGGTTTCACTAATCTATGCAATTAACTATAACAATCGGCACAATTAATGCAATTAAACAAGGTACATACGTTTAACAATTATCAACTTTCACTGTGGAAAGTATTATTAGCACCGTTGCATAAAATCACATTATACGATACACACGAGGAGCGATACAAAAGTGGAGAGGAGAAAGTCTTTTTGTAATAAAGAGACGGAGAAACACTCACAAATTGGTTTGATCTATTTCCCGGAATGGATAATTTTTCCTTCTCACTTGTCCAGTGAAAAGGCGTTTTTTTAGATTGATACTTGTCGATAAGTCTTAATCCCAGCGGATTACCGTAACACATTCCTCACATCACCTCGGGTCAGGAATCCAATAAATTTCGTTGGATTTAAAGACTTGAAAACTAATCCAATCCGATTCGAGAGTGAGAGTGAGAATTTTATTGTTTTATTTTGAGAGACAGGTAGACAGTCGGAATTGGAAATTGGAATGAAAAAGTAGGTGTTTCATGATGTATCACGTGGCATTTCTCACAACCAGACTCAGACTTATTTGGCTTTATTCTTAAATAACTAAAAAAACAATATATTGAGATATTTTAGAAAGGAGGAAGAGTTGGATAAATGCGACCGACCGAGCCCCTGGTCTGGCACTGGTAATGTAGTGCACCATTATACATGGCCAAAGTATGCGACATTCGCCTATTACTAATTCAACCTCTCGTAAACGGTGATGAACCACGTATGTATGTGTGCACATACATATTTCTTGGAGAATTTGGGAATATTGGTATTCAACTACATCGATGACATATCGTCGTAGTGGTGGCCGCGAGGTAACTATTGACATAACAAACTGCATAATTTACTATTGTGCTGCCCAAATCGTTCCAAAACCAAATGTCATAAGGTGGCAGACAGTCAGCTAAATGAAACTTGTTCAATGCCGAGGAGAAACACAATTTCTTGCGTAATAATAATCAACAAAAGTAATTCTGTCATGTTTGACACATTCTAATCGGCGTATACAATCTTTCATCGATTGAAAATTAATAAAATTACTTATGTATATATTCTGCTTGGCGGGTGGGCGGTCGGTGGGCAGACCTCCTCAGTTTCTGCATGGCCTTATTAGCACGAACGTAGGCATAGACAAAAAATGTCCGTGAAAACATCGGAATTCGTAACAGGACATGAAAACGTGAATTGCTTGACGACACGGAAGAAGAAAAAACGGGCGCATTGTGATGACACGGAACCAAATCAAAAGGCAAACTACGTATGAACTGGCACATCGCGGAGCAGCAGTGGCAGAAGAGAAAGAAAGCAGGAGGAGAAAGCCCAGAAAGAGAAAGCAGACCGGCTAAACATCTGCATTACCGGCGGCCACCACTGCACTGTGTGATACACCAAAAACTACCAACTCCTCGACCAACCAACCAACCCAATTTGTTTCCCCATGCAAAAAGCATGAGCATTCTGCAATACTCTTCTGCACTCTGTATTTACTACTACGCGAGCTAAAATTCCTCCAAATCCACTACTCCATCCACGTTGGCTTTCTCTAATGGATGGGAAGGAAGGAAGCCGTATATATGTGGGTCTGCCTGTACTGAATGTATCATGACTTTCACTCTGGATGGACCTCCTACACAGCGCAGTAAATAAGTAAGTAATTGCCATGCATTGTTTGGATCTTCGGCCTTACACAAATTAATCATACGTCATTATTGTTACACCATGAAGATCCATGGACTATGAAACCGCAGGAGTTTGGTGGTTTTGTGTATGTACGTGGGTGAGAAGGACCACATCACAGCCACAAGCTTACATACGTAACAATACGGGTTTGCCAGCCACTTGGCTAATTAGTCTTGTCATCATCCTTTATTGTTCCTCCAAAATAGCAAAGGAATTAATGAGGCGAGCGTTCAAAAGGCTACGCGATGATTAATTTGGGATGAAGGGATCAATTCAATTTTAGATCCGGTAAAATTATTCGTTAGGGTGAAATCTTTGAAGGATTTTTAAGAAACTTTCTCCCAAGATTGGGAAGAACTCTTCTAATTAAAACTAAATTTAGCCACAATTTAATATTCAAAACTTTTGCGTGTAATTTATTGCAAACACTTGATCAAATCAAAACCTTGCCGAGAATCTGCACTCATCGTCGCATTTATCCAACCCGTGGAAAGACGTGGACGGACACGTCTTTCCACTTTCACTTCTTCTTGGTCCCATAAATACATATATCCCAATTCAAGAGATCTTTTCCACAACCTTTGTGCTCCTTCACAACCCGCAATCTTACCCAATCCGCTTTCTCAATTTATAAATCTTAGGATTTCCTTGAGCAGCAACTCAACCACAACTTGTACTTGTCTTCTTCTTTCTCCACCATATATACATAAAACCAACCCGGACAGGCCAAACCAAGCCTTGAAATGTTTCAAAGCCCCCGACTACTTGATCCACTTGCTTTCACCCAGCACCGCACCAGCACCACCAGCACTACACCATACACTTTATTCATTATGTAATTTTATCTGCGAAGGGAGACAATACACAGCATGTGCACAAAACCAGCGTATCTTCCGCTCCAAATTCCATCCCAGCGGACGCACTATGAATTCTTTATGTTGGTCAATTCTACATTTCCCAATCGAAATATTTAGTCCTCTCTGGGTGAAGGGAAGCAAGGCCTGCCAAGAATGGACAGACAGATATGATTTGATGCAGAGTTTCGCAATCACTGCATCATCACATTGCATTCTACAACATACGAGTATTTTCCCCAAGTCTCTCACGCAACCACAACCACCACGGCTAAATAGCAACTACTCTTGAGGAGAGTGAGACGAAGGAATTTCTACACCATTTCTTCTTCTTCTCATTCCCCTTTCTTCCACTTAACAACAACAACTGCTTCTTATTGGACTAGTTAAGCTAAGCTAAGCAGAGAAGGATGGCCGTGAGTGCACCGAGTAAGTAATGCAATGCGGGTAACGTATTTTGGCTGGAGAATGGAAAAAGGGTAAGCCATGGATTTGGATTTGCTTCAATAGTAACGGAATTATGAACCACCACAGAGAAGAAGAAGAACGAGGCCAGACATGAAGTTGGTGAAAGCAGCAGACTTTCTCTCCCTCCTCCGTTCTCGCTGTGTGTCCAGTATTGTGAAATTTTTTTTCGCATTACTTCCTCTATTTCTTCCATATTTTATTAACTGCGTAAAATGGGACGCCTACGACGAGTTGTAATATGTGCCATCAAGAAGAAGAAGCAGGCGGCCTCGAGTAGGACAATAACTTTACAACATGGGCTTTCTCTTCTAAGAAGTCGTGGAAAAAAGAATAAAATAAAATAAAGATAAGACAAGAGTCGTCTAAAGACAATATTGGTCCTGGTTTGGTGATTTATTTAATAAAACAATTTCTCAAGAGATCATAAACCCAATCCGGAGATAAAGTTTAAATTGTGAGAGATGTAGCAACGTCTTATAGAAAATAGTTTCAGAGTGTAAGCATGTCTCCATCGTAAGGATTCCCTGGTCTGATGTCACAATCAAAGAGAATTCAGAGTCCACTTTACTTTCACTATCTACGCTTCGTTTTTTATACTTTTGGTCTCATCTTTTTCTCCCACTCTCTCAAATTTTAATGAGGGCGAGACCGGGAGCAAAAGTGGTGGTGGTTACTCAACAAGTTCATCCATTCACTATATGGTCCAGATCATAATGCTTCTTTCAGAGATCAGTCTCATTTTCCTCACTTGAGAATGAGATTGGATGATTGTGGAAGAGATTGTGGGCTCGGTTACTACAAGGTTGAGACTGCTTTCTCTCTTCTCACTTTCTCCTCCAGCCAACCCACCATGCACCAACCAATTCTGCTACTCCACTACGAACAACGACCACTGCACCAAGAACTTTCCTCCGCCGCATAAAGCGAAACTTGTAAAGAAGGCAGCCAAGCAGCCAAATATCGTGTCTGCATAAGACGCGAGGCGAATGCAATAGTGCAACATACGTATGTATCCTTATATACTTACCCTTTTCCGTATTGCTGTTACTGCATCGCACCACGATGTCGTGTCGCAAAGTCCTGCTTTCTTCGTCCCCAACTGCACTTTAATTTACATGTTACACTCTCACTTTCACTGGCAAACAGTTAGTTACCTATAGACGCGGGGAGGAGGAGGGGATATCCGTTCAATTCGGTTTTGTCGCAATTTTACGTTAGTAGGAGAAGAGTCGTTTAAAAAGGGGACTTTGGTGGTGAAATGGTGGATTCAGTCATCAGACTGTGAATGAGGAATCAGTGGAGAAAGTAACCCGCACGGACGTGGACAGACAATGGAAGAATGAGAGGATAATAGAAGAACGGATGACCAAGTTGGTGTAAAGTATTTGGCAGGATGAAACCTTGGCAGTTTCGACTCTGCAAGGATGTATTCCATCCACGGCACAGAAGTGATGCTGCTAAAAGCCAAAGTGTGGTTAGCTGGGAGAAGTGTCTTTCTTTTTATGTGTACAGGAGTGGATTGGATGGGGTGCGTGGTAACAAACTGCGACGACGACGACGACCAAGAAGCGACTCAACTGTCCTCCCATTATCATCGTGTGCTCCCCTGCAATGCTGAAAACCGACTGAGTAAAACTGACATGCGAGAATACTTGGTGTCTTTCGTGGAGGAAGGAAAGCAAAGCATGAACTGCGAATTCTCCCACCATTTCCCTTCCTGTTTTTTCTTATGCATGCCACCCGGCAGCAAACCAGACCAACTCTAAGCTAAAACTAGATAGCAACTTTTGCATGGTAGGCAAACTTAGATTGGGATGAGAATCCGATCCGTAGTATTCCGTAGAATATATATGGCTTACTCTTTTAGATAATAATATGTGAGTAGTAAGAGAAAACAGAAACGAGATGCACACATGAATTTGTACACAGAAATAGAAAATTTCAAATTTGTACAAAGGCAACCATAATTACTTTTTTATTAAGAGTAATTCACGACTGCTTTGACTTTTTCTTAAATACAAATAAGAGATACAAATAGGAGGAAGTACACGTGCGAATAAATTAAAGGCACCGTTCTTTCGTTTCATTTCATTCATTGTTTTTAGTAACAATTATAAATATATGTAGAATGGATTATAAAGGGAATTAAGGGATTGATTTAAAACATGATAAACAAAACAATTATCAAATATATTCTATCAATTGAGAACAAATCTAACCGACATGTTTACACGGGGTAGATTGTAAATAAGTCATACATCACAAAAAGCAAAACAACAGATTACACTGTTGAAAGTAATTTAATTCAAGTTTTGAACTCGGAAATTCTTGAAAAAACTGAACAAGCCATGATAAAGCATTTTTTTAAGCTAAGGATAAGTAATCAAATAATTTATGGTTTGTATTTATGTATGTTTAGTAGAAATCTCTTAATCACTATTCACTAGGTTCCGTTTCTTAGTCCACTTGGAACAAAATATTTCAGCATATGGTGGAAATACATTTTTTAGCGACTGCGAGTAAATATATATGTATGTATAAAGCTTTGGCGATTATGCGAGATTAATATCACAATGATTCACATTCCACCATAGCGAAATATTTTACACCAATGACGTAATAATGTAGTATTATACTAATATTAATATACCTATGTATATTTCTAGTTACACACATACATGTAAATGTGTACAATATATTACTTGATTCGTAGCTGTTTTTATTATTTAATTCGTGCTCCCACCTTCTCAGAAACTTTATACTATCAAATTTATCGAGCTCATTCATCTCACAACGACGCTCAAGGACACGAAGATTGTTATAAAATAATCGTTTTGGATAATCTAGACAATTCAGATTTATAGAGTACAAAATTAGTCAAAATTAGTTTGATTTTTGTATGGCTTGGTGTACAGAGTAAATTCTATTGGTACTGACGCAACGCATGTACTTATTCATTCCAATATTCTGATTTTCATGATCCTGTTTTTCATCAAATTTGTCATCAATCGTTATGGTGTAAGGGAGATTGTACGATTTTAACGATATCGTCGCTGCACGGGTCTTCGTCTTGGTTGTGCTGTTGCTTGTCCAAGGTTGAACATATTTCCACCAGGAGAAGGAGCCGTTGGAGTTGTTGATGCTGCTTGTGATGCAAAGTTGAATCCCCCAGAAAGTCCTAAAAGTTAAAAAAAAAGTTAAAACTTATGGCATCATGGATTAATTATTACTTTGTTGGTTGGATAAATTGACCACATGCCCACACCGGCTGCTTGAGGTGCTCCTCCGAATTGGGAAACAGGAGGTTGCTGCGTTCCTGCAGTAGCCGATTCAAAGTTAAAACCTCCATTGGCTGCAGACTGAGGTTGCGCTTGCCCGAATGGGAACGGCGTTGCTATTTGTGGGGTTGCCGCTGAGCTGGTATTTGTTGCTGCTGAAGTGCCAAATGCGGGAGTGGGAGTGGTCAAGTTTCCACCACCACCGAATGTCTGTGAAATTGGGCTTGATGCAGGTAATCCAAAGGCTGGGACAGATGAGGGAAACCCAAATCCAGAAGTGTTGTTATTGTTCGCTATAGGATTTGTCACTCCTAAAGGAAACGATGGTCCACTACTAGTGGCAGCAGATTGACCAAAATTGAACCCACCAGTCGTTGGAAGGCTTGTAGTCTGGATTTGATTGGCATCTCCAAACCCGCCAGTCGTCGTATTAACACTGCCAAACACGGAGGATGATGGATTTATCGATGCAGGTGAAGCTGTCGAACCAAAAATTGATCCTCCCCCACTTCCAAACATGGGCGTAGTGGATCCAAATGCAGGAGGTGCTGAGGTTGTTGTCGAAGTCGGAGCAGACGAGAATCCACCCAAACTAGCGTTGTTATTGGTAGCTGCCGGCGCAGAGCCGAAAATGCTGGGCGTTGTGAATTGTTGTGCGGGTTGTTGATCTAATGGAAAAACGGTAATTATATTTCTTAATAAAATCATATTTAATCCAAATCAATAAATGTACCCGTACCTGCACTGGCTTGAGGCATTCCTCCAAATTGGAAGGCAGGGGGTTGTTGCTCTCCTGCAGAAGCAACTGGTTCAAAGTTAAAACCTCCATTGGCTGATGCGGGCTGAGATTGAGTTTGCCCAAACTGGTACGGCGTTGTTGCTTGTGGGGCTACGGCACCGAAACCCGAGTTGGAATTCGTTGCTGCTGATGAGCCAAATGCTAACGTAGTAGTAGTAGTCGAGTTTCCCCCACCAAATGGTTGTGAAATTGGGTTTGGTGCAGATAATCCGAAGGCTGGGACAGATGAGGAAAAAGTGGAACTGCCAAATCCAGAAATATTGTTGTTGTTTGTTGTAGTATTTGACGATGAGGGGGTCAACGATTCCAATATATTGGATGGTGTAATGCTATTGATGCTATTTTGTCCCCCACCCAAAGAAAATGCCGAGCTGGATGGTGCGCTTGTAGTGGTGGTAATTGTCGTAGATTGACCAAAATTGAACCCACTTGTCGTCGTCACCGCGGTAGACGCCTGGACTTGATTTTGATTATTATTTCCAAACGTGAGAAGTGGTGCGGCGTTTGCGCTACTACCACCAAAGGATGCAGTTGTCGTTGTTGTTGGAGCTGCAGCACCAAATTCCGTTCCACTTCCAAACACTGACGTAGGCGCCGATGTTGTTGGTACAGCAGACGAGAATCCGCCAAAACTATTATTGTTAGTAGTTGCCGGCGCTGATGTTGTCGTCGGAGTGGAAGAGAATCCTCCAAGACTAATAGTGCCTGCTGGCGCAGATCCGGGAAGAGGGGGCATTGTGGATTGTTCTGCAACGGTAGTCGTTGCCTGTGACCCAAAACTGAATCCTCCAGTGCCTTCTGTTACAAAATACAAATAACAACACGTCTTCAAATTGCACATAGATACTTTATAAATATATTATTAGCTACATAAGACTTTATTTAAAAAATTATTTAAATACCATTTTTTATCAACTCTGTAGTCTTTGTGTCGAGTTTTGGCTGTATAAATTGGATTGATTTGGCATCAAAAGCATCCGCTGATGTCCCGCCAACCGAGTTAGAAGCCGGGATTAAATTTGCTGCACCAAATGTGACCTTGGGCGCTTCGCTGACGATGGTAGACGATGATGCATAATCATTATTGCTGGCTGTATAAGTTAATGTGGTCGTGGCTCCTGTGACTAGTTGCGACAATGAAATCGTGGATGTCGCAGGTGTAGGTGGAATAGCTTCCAGGGTTGGCAGCGGTGAAATTTTATTAGCATTGCCGTCCATCTCATCCATAGGTTGTTGATCTGAAATAAAGATGTATTAAATTTCTCAATAATAATATTCAATCATGATTTCTAATTATTCTATGAAATATGAAATTACCGTCTTCTGCTGGTTTAGTCGGTTCTAATCCCAAAATTCGCTTAAATCTTTCAATACGTTTTTTTCGATCATAATCATACTTCTCCTTTGTAATGAGTGTCGGCTGGGTAGCCCTACTGTAATTTTAATTAAGTATGAGCATTTGTTAACTACATTAATTAAAATGTGATTTTTTCTTTTCTTTATTTGACACTCACCGTATAATAATTTCCGGCGTGGTCATCTCCATGTGGTCATAAGTCGGGAGAACGGAAGAAGTATTCATTTTAGAAGAAGGAGACGCTTCAAAAGTTACAGTCTTTCTTGGCAGTTGAGCTGACGATTTTGGTGGGGATGCAAGTATAACATTATTATTCTGCGTGGAAATTCCAGCCGCTTCCGCATAGCACTCGTTACAATGACAAAATTTCCCAGTTTTCGATTTAGGATCTTGAGCAGTTTCGTTATCTTCTACTTCTACTATGCTGATCCCGTTTTCACCCACTTTCCTTTTACGAATTCCACTCAATGGGGTGTTGGTGGATAACTTTGTCCTCTTTGCAGCCGACGTTATTGGACTGACGTCAGGAAAAAAGCGCTTCTCTTTTTGATTCGTTTGTTCCAGGATGGATTTCGAAGTCATGAGGTTATTTCCAGTAGGCGGATCGCGGTATACGTCATAATTTAAGAAGAAGCGATTCGAGGGATGCCCAATGTCTTGCCCGGTCAAGTATTTTACTTTTTTTGTAAACTTATTTTGGTTTCCAGAACTCGTGAAGGATTTTGGAGTTGAATTTGAAGGTCCGGCCCGATTATCAATTGGGTCTGCTATTGTAGAAGAATGAACGCTGCCGTCAAGATCTCGACCCCTGTGCATAAAATAAATAACATTTAATTTAATCGTGCCTTGAAATTTAAAACGTAATACATTTGTTTATTTATGTGGTGTACAAACACCTCACCTCTTTCGATTGTGCATAACACCAGCATCAAGAATACTAGGATGTATAGGATACGTTCCCATATATCCAGTTGAAGGTGGTTCAGGTCCGTTACTTGTTCCTGGATAAGGATATTTATCAGGCCACCCAAGCCGACTAAACCTTTGTGCTAAGGGAATCCCACCTAACCCAGGCGATGTAGGGGAATTTGAACGAATTTCTCCTCCTAGTATTCCCATTGAGGGACCGTAACTACCGTATTGCTGCTGGTCATCCCAATCGAAATAATTATTGTAGGAATAGAGGCCACTATTTTGGATAGGAGCAACGGGAAGCCCTTTTAAATCGACGGGGGCTAGCTTGACGAAAATAGTCCCGGCTCCATTCACGTCCCTTTTATGAACTCGGGAGAATCGATTGAAAGAAAAACTGCTTTTATTCGGCGACGGGAAATTGATCATGGCAGATGTCTTCCTTCTTGGCGAGGTTGAAGTCGGTAGTTCTCCCAATCGCAGGCTTAAGTTTGGCGATCTGTTCATTGAGGCTCGGTTGATGGTTGGACCTCCAGTAAACGTTCTCAGATTTTTTGAAGCCACGTCCTCCACTCCGTTTCCGTTGGCTTGTTGCACCGCTCTGCTCGTAAATCCGGGACTGGTGACGCTGGACCATACTCTAATGAATAATTCAAATCAAGTCAGTAATTGGTGAACAAATATGAAAAATATACATAATTAAAACTCATTTGTATTAATTGTGTTACAATAATAATTAATTAATTATGAATATTTCAAACCACATACGTACCGAACATCCAACGGTTCTCGATTATACGACAAATAAGATCTATTTCTAATTCTCCCATTATTAGTTCCTTCCCGATTCCCACTGTTTTTCGTCCCGGACAACGAAGAACTCGTAGATTTTGAATCAGAGTCCGAATTATCTTCATCCTCCTGGTTGGCACCATCGTCATTTAAGTTCCCATCATTTCCACCCAAAACACTTTCATCATCAGGAAGAGACCATCCCCTTCCGCCTGCGGAAGAGCTGTCCCCACGGAATAGAAACCCCGAAAAGGAATTGTTCAGAGTTTGTCTGAATGACGAAACAAGTCTCGAAGTGGTAGTTGTAGTGGTCACATAACCATTACTTCTCGTCTCCCCCAATAAGGTCACGGATTCGCCTTGCTCGTCAATCCCGTCTCTGGTCCGGATAGAAATTTCACGTTGGACAGGTTGACTCGTGCTGCTGTCCTGCTTTCTCCCAATTCCGAACAGCCACATTTTATTTACACCAAAACTTAATTATTATTTCACAGGCATGTCTTTTACTTTATATTTCTATTTATTTTTTGTACAAAAATATTCGAACACATGCAGTCAAAAAGATAGATGAAAAAGGTGCCAAGCACTTTTGCCGGGTCGTCGTCGGGGCAACTGGTGAGCGAGGAAGGAGACTGGACCGTCTGCTGCGATGAGATGAAGAAGAATGAGACTTTTGCTCGTGAATCTTCCAATTTTAATTCGGTCTTAATTTTGAGATTGAATGAAAATCTATATTGTAACTAAATTTTGTATTGTGTGCATTGTAAAACTACCTCCGTATTTGTAGATATGTTGTTATCTTTCCGGTTCTAATATAAGTTGATTGAATGAAACAAAAGAGAATCAAATAATGCTGCTCTGAACACAAATGAATGGATCCTATTCTTATTTTGAGCTTATCGTAGGAATGTATCATGATATCAAGTAGAATTATTATCAGAGTTTGACAGGATGTGCTATTGTTACTCAGAGTAGCATCTCGGGAACAAATACATATGTATGAAGTTAAGAAGAACAACGACAAATTTTGTAACCTTTGTTTCATGTGCAGAGAATTGGCGACAAAAATAATCCCTTGAAATATTTTGGCCAAACGTTTTCGTAAGTTCAAGAAGAAATGAATTATTCACGTTTTAATCAGTCCCGGATGTTTATTATTCTCTGCGTTATCTTCTACAATCTTATTGTTGGTCTGACTGAGCTTCTTTTTCTATGAAAATTAAATCAACTTAACATTTCATCCAACTTAATTCAATAACCTAATCTTAAAACTTATACTCGCTCATTAACAAGGGCGTCATTCATTTGTCTCAATATCTTTTGTTGCCCCAATGTGGATGTACATACCACAATTTACTACGTACTTATTACTGATGCTACTAACACAAATGACAATTTACCCCAAGCAGTACTCTATTTCAGGCAACCTTTTATAGTTAGTCTTTACAGTTTACGTTAGTTTACGTTAGTTTTATTGCTAGTCTTTACAGCTATTACATCCACCATTGTGCAAGGAGAAGGAGAGCCCCTGTGGTAAAATGAGACTTTAGAGTAATATTTTACAACGTTAAAGCAGATACTGAGAACTCGGCACAATGGATTCACATCTCTCTCTCTCTTCTGTTACGGTTACATAATAATACCTAAAAACACAGTAGTGAGTGCATAAGCAACATTATGCAGAACAGTGTTGCCTGTTCACATCTGAAAAGGGTGGATCCCGTGGAAGGAGCATGTGACTGGGATCTGCGAATCCTCAGCGAGAACCCCCTCACTGCGCACGCCGCCGCGCCGAACCAATCTCCTTTGTTGGCTCAAACAAGCTGGACGACCAATAAGACATGTCCTACTAGATTTTCCCTGCTTAACAAAGCAACATGCCAGATAGTGGGGGAAGAAGATCAAATGACAAAGGAAAGATGAGACAATCTTGACGATAAGTACGTGAAAATGAGCAGCTCTTTTTATTTGGAGGCAACTTGATACAATGTGTGAAATTGTTACAACAAAACTCTGATTTTTGTATTTGACACGAGTTTAATGAAGTATGTAAATGTTTTCATGCAACAATAAGAGGTCACCGTTACAAAAATTGTTGGTGATTTGAAATTTTTACTTCTGAGTCATCAAACTGACATAATTGTAACTTTGGGTTGAATTTCCTTTAAATATGTACTTGTATGTATCTTTAAGGAAACCAGTTTACTTAAAAAATTAGGTACTACTTCTTACTCAATTTCCACTTTTTCAGTTCTTATGCGCACGATGTGTATAACATGTTGTCTTGTTAAAGTGAGTGTATTATATTTCTAACGATTGCTGAAACAAAGAACTCCTAGAATTTCTAGAACAATTAAAATATGTAGTAGCGGCGTTGCATTGGGTAGCGGGAAATTGAGACGATCCATTCGTGCCACTAATGTTACATCAATGTCTTATAAAATCACTACTGATTTGACTTGATCATGAAAACATGATGTTCCATGTTGAAGTTGACCAATTGTTTTACATACTCATTGACGAACTGCTCACACGAGAGCATATTCGTGAAAGCTTGATCAAGTACATAAACTACATTAACACAGATCCAAAAACTCCACTGAACTTCATCATATTTTGTCAAATTCTAATGGCTGCTTTCGTCCTGTTAGATGAGGTTTTAATAACTATGACCACTTGCCTAATGTCGACCCTCTGCATCTCCCAGTGTACCAAATAATACATAAGGCATTCGGTTGTCGATTTTTGGTTGGTTCTTAACTTTTACATAAGCTGGCCCTGAGGGTAGTTTTAGTTGTTGTTTAGGGCTTTTATGGATTTTCAGTCCGTCATGTTTCTGAAGTAATGACCCAGAGTGAGATGACTATCCTTCAATCCTGGCTGGAGGCAAATCATTGAAGATGGGGTGTATCGGTCGAAAAGCTGCCCACGTTCAAGTACACCCCTTGCAAGGGATGTCTGGTGACTGTATCTACATGACAGTAAGAGTAACAACCCCTAGCCAACTATTTCCACAGAATCGATTTAGCAATTTATTTAGTCGCAGTCTCAATGGGTGGTGACGAGCTGGTGGTGGGTTGACGTGGCCCAAGGGTACAGATTATTAATATGAAGGCCTCGGCCCTTCAAATGCTGCTTGTAATAAAACATTTTTAACGCGCAAACGTCTCAAACTGTTTAAATACACATACAAATGATCACTTATGTAACACCTACAGTATATTTTTTTAGCATCCTTGTTCTCAAATTAACATGCAGCATAACTAAAGGATTTCTGCATTTTAAATGAGGTAGTGTCATATTCAGGGTGTTATAATTAACTCATTATTAGCAATTAATTTGGAATTGCAATTTGCAATTAAGCATAAAATCAGTCTCATTTGTAAAGAATAAAATAAATATGGAAAAAAATACAAATGCAAGAAGGTGGAGGCAAAGTGGTTGAGCACCTTTCCTTGAAATACTTTTTACTGAAGGATGCTGCCATTTATTAAGCTGCATTTTTGGGTACGCACAATAAGCGTAACGCATGGTCGGATGATCTATCAATAGCCTGGAGCCGGATACAAGTTGGAGAGAGAGAGGGGAATGTTGTAATAGTTTGGACTTTGGGCTGCTAGTGGGGGGAGAAGATGGGAAGGGATCACAACAAAGAGGGTCTTTTTTGCTGCCTCTGTCCGTACGTGCAAGGGAGATGCTTCGACATACGTGACGTAGGTCTGTGGGTCTCACAAATACAGTGGAAAAGGTGGTCTCAGTGCTGTTGTGGAAGGGTCGTTAATGCTTTTTTTCGGTTGGTTTAAGCCAAGTTTGGCTTGGCTTAAATTTAGTCTGTTATATGCTCATCCTTGAGTTGTAGCTGAATAATGCCTCCTCTCATCTCATCTCACAGTTGAAGCACGAATACGAATCATTACCTCGGTATCTTGACATGCTAAGTTTTGTGGTACTAACTTGGAAGGATGGGTTTAATTGGTTCTCAAGTAAGAAATCAGTTAGTGGTTGATGTTAACCAATTAATCTAGCTCATTATGTTAAGTATTAAATGCGATTTTAGCGTGGCCACTCCCAGATATTTGATTAGCATCTTTGAATTTTTAGCAACTTTGTTAAGCTACCAAAGTATAGCGTTTCTCCATTTTAGGCAGGGTTCGTCTGCATGTTTGCATTATATATCCTTCGGGTAACGCTGTTAAACTTTTAATTGGGATAATATCTATGATCAATTCTACCTAGTCATCCTTATGATATGAAACAATACAAGATTGAGATTCTCAAGATGAGAGTATAGAGTGTGTGCACTTTCAGTGAGTGCAAGCAAGTAAATCGTACTACGGGGAGAACGTACGATGTTTGCAACTCCAAATTTTGATGCACTTTGGTTGAATATGTCGTATGACTTATGAGTGTAGAAAAACGAAATAGAGGTCCATGTGTGCATTAACGCTGGCCACACCCCCCTAAATTTTTCCAAAGCATACAGCCATTAAAATTTGAAAAGTTGAATAAATAGTTTTCTATTAGATTTGACATATTCAGGAACTTCAAAAATTAAACAAAAAATGCTTCATTGCGCAAAATAGAATTTTGGTAAATTTTTTAATACACGCAAGGATTTGAAAGAGAGTTTGAGTGGTTTTTAAGGTTTAATACCTTTTAGTGGGTGTGGCGGGTGCAAATTATACGGTTTAGTACGCTCATGGGGTACCACAAAATATTAAATATTTTAAAATTTTCTGCGGGCATCAAAATTTGTGAGTGATTAGTTGTGAGGCTCTCCTCGTAAGCTACACAAATCTAAAGCTGACTGCTAAAGTTGCACAAAGACCTATGGCAGTGCTTGAGCAGTCATTTTGTTAAGCTTGTCCTCATTAGTCTTTAACGATCGCCGATTTTTTGCAACTGTATATTCTGCACCTGTAAATTCTGTTAGTTACAATTTCTTCAATTATATACGAATTGATTGCAATGTCAAACCGTTCTGTATGTAACCTCATGGAATATGAAATCTTTAATTTTTAATGTGTTCGTGCTACCCGTATCATCTCGACTTTTATGACTTCCGTAAAACTACATCCCCCTGAGTATCTTCTAGTATCATCACGTCATCACTTGCATTTAGTACCACCAACCAATACCCACGCCATGTAAAATCCACTGCATCTCTCTATCCCTCAGTATTGTCTCATGCTACCAAAATCCCCTTTTTTAACCAACACTTTTACTCTCTTCTCATCCTACTACTCATGCTCAGTAAAAAACTCCAATAATCTCCCCAGCATTGCGAGCACAACGCTAACTTCCTTCTATTTTCCTGCCTGATATAACGCCGATGATTCCTCTCGACGTTTGTGGGGGCACGCCCTCTCCTCCGAAGAATAAACGATGCCTTTCCATTGGTCCAAGCCCTGTAAACCAATCGAAACTTGGGACGAGAGGACGAGTGTTTTGCGTATGCCTAAAGCCAAACCAGTCCTCTCGTCAGTCGCCAGCAAGCAACCAAGCAGAGATCTTCTGCCAGCGTTCCCAGATATCTTCCTGTGCTAAGTTAGCAGAAGCCAATTCGCCCAGTTGCCAAGTTTCGCCCATCGCAAGTTCCGCTAGCACTTTTTAACAAGACCTCGACCCACCGGGCTACGCCACTACTATCAAACTTCACCAATCCAATCCACACGGATTCAATAAATAACATATAAGATTGTGCAAAACTCTAACTAATAAGGAATGAAATGCAATTCCTGAAATAGTTTACGTATCAAGGAAACATGCCGTAATAGCATTCCAGTTGAAAATAAACTTTTAATTAGTAATCTTCACCTAAGAAAATTAAAATTCGAAGGGAAGTTTACCATTCACATTTTTTGCACGGTTTTAATATTTGCCAAATTTGGTGTCAACAACTTAATCGGAAGGAAGAGACATTATACACGTTATAAAGGTAAGATAACTCAAATTTCGGTTAATTCGTCAAGTTACTGGTATAGTTAGTTATTTTAGCAAAATCTATATTTCTACATATCAACTACTTCCTCCTGCAGTACTTTATAAAGATATATATATTCAACTTCATACCCGTTAAAAAGATTTGTTCATTCGTCTACTAAAATATTCAAAGCCAAAGTAGCCAGCTCTTAAAAAGTAATAAAATATTAAAAGCCTTCCTGAGCCGAGGTGCACATTATGCATTATTAAGTGGTGAAAACCACTTTATGGGAACGTTATGTCTGTCCGTCCGTCCGTATGTCTGTCTGATCGCGCTATAACACTTCAAAAGTAATGGCAAGCTCAATATTCAACACGATAAGTCAGACCCTTCACGGTCAAAGGTCACAGGTAAATAATGTTACATAGTAACGCGCAACATGATACGCATGATACACATCATTCGAAAGATTATTTTCAATACCTTTCAGAATATATACGACACTGTTATCTGTGACCTTTCCATAACCGTTAACCACGGTCAAATATCAAAAAATCATAATGTACCGTGTGGCATATCGTTTTGGGGTAGAAATTAAATCTAGCTAAAATCCAAAGATAAAATGAGATTTTCAACTTCGTTTCACGTTACTTGAGTTCATAATTTTGAGTACATTAGCCGAATTATTTTATTATTTGACATCAGTTATTTTTATTTTGGCGTTTAAATTATTCAATTTCGTATGTAGTTAAACGGAGTTTAGGGTACATTGAAGGTATAATAGAATTTACGATTTGTTCGAAATACTAAGTAGAATGATATGATAGATGATCAAACTACATTTCATGAAGTGTAAAAACCAGGTTTATGTTAAAGATATCTTGAAATTATTTTGAAACGTATAACCACGGTTTTCGCCACTTTGTTACATCCTATTTACACTGCTTTATTTCTTTAACACAACGAACTGCAACTGCACTTTTGCATGACATTTTTCACAATTCCTTCTCCACAACAAAATGAAATACAACTTTTTGCACAATGACTCTTCCTTCCTCTTTCCTCCAGCGCAGCATCCAGGCAAACCACATGGACACAAGATTACATAAAAAGCGTAGTCCGTCCAATGTGTATACGGGCACAAAATAAATAAACCTTTAAAGGCAAGAGCTCACTTTTACTTTATCATTGTGCTGCTGCTTATAAAGCTCGAGGAGAGAGCCCGGTGGTGGTGGTGGTATAAGGAAGAGTTCATTCTAGGCCTAGGTCGTTGTGCTCGTGTGTATTCTCTGCTACTTCAAGCTGCAATTCTCTCAATCTCTCTTCACGTTAGAATCCCTCTCTATACGAAACTTACGCACCGTCTGACTCAGTTTTCAAGCAGGGTGTTTGGTTCATCAGGAAGAATAAGACCGGCTCTCATAGGTATTAGATCCAGGCAAATATATCCCCTTTATGAGAGAAAGATGAGCTAAGAGGAACCACAACGTGCTCAAAATTCTGCTGCTAATAAGGACAAAATCTCGAGATTGCATAATAAACACAATTCCTTAATGAATCTTATTTTTGGACCTGAGTTTTTCTCGGAAATGTTATGTTATGTATGTCTGTAACGTTATCAAGTGCAAATATTGTATGTATATTTCCAACCAATAACTTTCTTATCATTGTACATAAATGTAAGAATTTAAGAAGAACATCATTTATCACTTTTGACGAAGCATCACTCATCCAATAATAACAGATTCGTTCGTGGGTCCATCTGAGAAAAGGGAGAGGATAATAATAATGATGGAGAGTGAACAATGAAATGAAGTCTTCAAATATGAATCATGTCGGTAGGGAATAAAGTTTAAGATAATTTACTATTCGTTGTCTTACTTTTTTAAATGGTATTCAAATTGATGATGTGTCGAGTTACGAGTTGGTGGTAACAGCGTCCTGGAGAGTGGAGCGTTCTTTTTGTTGTTACTTCATTGGGTGTAATATGAGTTACCTTGGGCTTTATTACTTGCGTGAACATTCTTCTCTCACTCATTATGAGTTTTTTTTACAGATTAGCGAATGTGCTATTTACTACTGCTCAAATTTACTATTCATTTAGTCAAGGTTTAACCAGTGAGTGGTTAACTTTAATTATTATGAGGGCATGAAAAACTGAAAAAACAAAACTGAAAAAAAACTGGCCCGAAGTGAGGAAGATAAGAGATGCTAATAAGGATTGTGGATATGCGCACAGTTTTAATACTGGGTTTATTTTGAAACTCGTTATCTCGAAGCGAAATTACTTTTTGAAAGGTGTATATATTGAACTGTAGATTTTTCCAAGCGAGATGAATTTCAGCTTTTCCAGCCTTTTTTGGTGTGGCAGATTGATCCGAAATATGCATGCAGTACCCTTGGGTGTTAGAAGAATATTCTGATTCCTTTAGCGTGGGATGTAAAATTTTGACACAAATTTGAATTTTTGCTTGTTTAGTAGCCCGAACAAGTTATATGGGCACAAAAATAATTCCATATTTTCCCTAATAAACCCTAATTAAAACAATGCGCTTACTTAATATGGATACGATCCTTATCTTGCTCTGTGTACTCCGTTAGCCTGTTTTTTTATTCTTTTCCTATTTTGTGAGTCACAAAGAATACGTTATACTAAAATTGAGCAAGATATGTACTGTGCGGGTGGAGCCTAATAGTGAAAAACCATAGATTTCTCCTCTCTCCAACCAACTCTCTTGTCCTGAGGCCTACGGTTTTTCACTATTAGGCTCCACCCGCACAGTACATATCTTGCTCAATTTTAGTATAGTGCGTAACATAGAGATGTCAACGAGTTAAAACTGCTGGAGAACCAATGCTTCCAAGGTCTTTATCTTGTAATGTGCATACCTCCAGTAATAGCAGCCGTGGCAGCGTATATTACATATTATGCTAGAGCCATTTAAATCTCAACTTTCCATTACAGAAACAGAAAAACAGGTTTCCGTTTACTTCTAGAAATATAAAACGTCACTTCTTATCAATATCGAATGACGACGACCCCCATCAAGTCGACTACTTGTCAAATGAACCAAATTGTAGAATTCTGGTCACTGTTACATTAAACTTAGTCCACGTCCACAACGTACATTGATCCATATTGTTTAAAAATTAACGACCAACGAGATTCTGTAGGAACTAAGAAAACCATAAAATCACGTGACTTCCCAATAATGATCAGATTTAACTCACTCGCTGCAGATTCATTCTCTCCGTGTATAAAGCATCTCAGGCATGACTGCATTAATCCCCAGAGTGTTTTTAGTGTTCGTCTAAAACTTAAAGCCTCTCTCACTCTCTTTCTTTCTCTCCTTCTTTTCTCATACAAGATGACGATGACAAAAGTGCATTTCTTGATTAAAATGGCTTCCACGTAGAAAATCTCACGTTGGAGGAGTTAGTTAGAGGTAGGAAAAGAAAGACGACGAACCTTTACAAATAATCGATACGCCTGATCTTTGCCTTGGCTATGGAATCCTTAAGAAAGCGTGTTTGTGCATGCATTGCATGCATGTCATAATAATTTAGAATTTTACAACTCAATTCTTCTGGTCAAGAAGACGTCAGAATATTTAATAACATGGGGTTGTTTCCCTTCCAAGAAGAACCTGACCGGTCCTTTTCTAGGGTTGAAATCCGTAATTTTAAATGGATTCAACCCTTTTGCAACTGTAATATTCTATTGCGCTTAATTGGATGAATACCGCCGGAAAAGTGGAGTAGTTTGTACATATTTTCGCCATCACTTCATTACGAATGGATGTAGCCATCTCCTAATATATTAAGCAATGAAGGAAGGACCTGAACAGCCTCAGAGAGAAATAGTAATCCAGCCAAACTCATCCTGGCAAGAATGAGATTTGGTTCGAAGATGATGAGAATTTTGGCCTGGAGCATGAGAGTTCTTTACACGAGAGTTGCAGATGAAATGAAGTGAGCTTGCTTGGCAGCGTTGAGAGAATTCTAATACCCAGCAGCAGCGTATGTAAAGAAAATACAATGCCATAAGAACAAGTGGGGATAAGAACGGCTGGGGATGATTTGGTCGTCTCGTGGCTTTTACTAGATCTCATCTCTCTCTCTCTCTGCTGCGTTATCCGAGCCGTTGTGGGAGGGAGGGTTGCATTATATTCCATCTTCTCCTCAGTTCGAATAAGTTGCACGTTATCAACATTATTATTTGCCTCCCTCACACAACTCCTGCTGCTGCTCTTGCTGCTCGTGACGCTGGATACCTCAGTTTGTGGAAGTAGACAAATCTCATTGGGGGCGAAGAAGGCGAGTGTAAAAAACTAGCTCTCTCTCTCTCCCTCCATGCACAGCCCTCTTTGAAAGTTGCACCTTCTGCTGATGCTGGATAAAAGTAAAAGTAAATGAAATATTTCGAAAAGATGTCGAGCTTCTAACTCTCAAGGAGCAGAAGAGTAAACCCATGCCCATGGGGATAGTCTTTATTGCATGGCAAAAAAATCCCCTGTCACTTTGCATTAATCGATTGTGCACATAAGAGAGACGTGTGCAATTAATTGGATGCGAAAAGCAAGCACTCGAGATATGCCATAACTTATTTGAGCAATGCAAGACTCGAGAGGGGCGCAATTCCACGAAGAATATATTTGCAAATTCGCATCTTCGGTGGTGCAATATGATTCAAGCTGGAGTGAAGTAATTTGATTTCCTCTGCTGCTCCCCTTCCACTGCATCCGCTGAGAGGTTTCCTCCTCTTTTTGGGAGAGATTCAAGCCCCATAAAAGCATTTCCAATTCCAAAGAAGAAATTTACTACTGTCAGCCAACCAACCAACTGCTTAAAGGCATTCTCTCCACTATTCCTTCATTCATTACCCAGCACACTTCCGCTTTTCGGGCGGAGATGGAGAGGGAAATGAAAGGCGAATAGTAGATGCGTAACGCAGCAACTTTACCCAAAAGCTGCTACCCCCACGACGACGACGAATAATAACACCCGGGTTTTTTACCTCGCATCTTTCTCTTCACGGGAGGGAGATTGCGGGTGCAACCGAATTGTGTGTAATACTCGTGGTGGAAGGAAAGTTTTCCCCTCGTCGTCAACTATGGTAGCAACAACCCTCCTCGTGCTCTTCGTGGGGTATTGGTTTTTGAAACCCAGATGCGTATTCCTTTCTTTCACGAGTTGAGAGCTTATAGGATTTTGTAATTCACATCTCCTCGCCTTCCTTCTTCCTTCCTTCCAACTTAAGGGTGGTTTCATGTAAGAGCTGCAATTTTAGCTTTTAGTCTTCTCAGTTCCTTCCTTCTTTGTATGTTTGGAAGACTGGATGAGATCCGTGTAACCCGTCCATGTAGTAAATATGTACATCCATGCATGGTTTGTAAAACCCATGGCTCAGGTTAGATTCAAGTGGATTAGAGAAACATGGATGGACTTGGATGCATACTACTTACCCACGCTCACCCAGCTTTTGCTATAACGGTCGTCATCATCATTCATCATTCAGCATGTGTAAAAATGAAAATAAGAACCTTTTAGTAAAACATGGCTACCATCCCGATTTTACATTGTCACTCGAAAAAAAGCATTTCAATTCATTGATCCGCATCATATTCCTCGAGCGTATTTATTAGTCGTCCTGCCTGATTTTATTGGGTGCTGCACAACTCTTAATCCTATCGCGTCGCCTAATTAGGAATCCTCTCAACTCAGGATCAGCTCATGTCTCTATGTGAAAAGGGTGTATCTCTAGACAAACAAAGGACGAACCAATGCAATACGCTACACACAAAAGTACATATGCACACGTAGGCAAAATATTAGAAAATAATATGGATGCATTTCTCTGTGCTAGTCTTTGTTTCGCTTATTCAAATGAGTGCACAATAGACTATTCACCAACCACCACGCTCTGTCTCTTATCCCATGCATGACCCGTGTACTTTTTGGTATAATAGTACTTTAGCTAAAAAGCAACCCCGTAATTTTATTCGTCCACGCAATCCATCCAACCAAGAAAATTCTTTAGAAGGCAGATTGCTCAACCCAGCTCGGTTTCAATTCAATTAAAGTGTGTACCTATGCTATGCCCATGTCTGCATAAAATGGACGGGTGGGGATCAGTTGTGTACATACAAATACATACAGCCTGCACACATAAGAAGAACCAGTCTTTTACAATACTTAAAGCAGGGGAGAATAACATGCTTACTTCGGTTTCAATACATGCATATTTGGCCATCAGAATAGCATGGGCCGAGGAGGAAGAAAGGTGGATTGGATATTATGAAGGAGGGTGGATACGAACGGAATGGATTTAACAACATGGAATGAAAATGCAGGCAGCAGGAGAGAATCAGAGAGGTAAAAACAGGTAACAAATGAAATAAGAGAAGGTGAGAGCACACAGCACACGAGGGGATTTTATTTAACAGGCCAACATATACCTCTGCATGAGTAGGAATAGTAGGGGAATAAATAATAAGAGTGGTGTTGCCAATGTTGAATTTCCAAGCATCCATTCAAATTACGTGATGGACACGAACTGAGAGAAGAAAGAAGTAAGTTTCGAAGGGAGAGAAAGGGTTGAAGTTGAATTCCATTAACAATGCACGTACGTACATACAGTTGAGATGCATCTAGTTGTATGTATTGCTTATCATCCTATTTATGTATTTACTATTAGTGTGCGTACAGCATTGCATAGATGCTTACGTAGTGGATTTCATTTCACAAGCACGACTGAGGAAAGGGTCTTCTTCTTCACCCAATGAAATACACTTTTGTAAAGGTCTCACGATTTTTCTTTTTGCTCGAGGAACAAGTGTTGAAGTTGAATGTGGCCTTAATTAAGATGGAAATTGTATTGAGAGCTTTGTTATGTTAAACTAGACTATAAATTGCTTCGAATCCTGTCCATTTGCTGGGATGGTTAGAAATCTGAGCTTATTTTACTTGTGCTAGTCTCGCATATAGTCTGGTAAGTGTATTTAAAAGTGAAGAATATTTTCCCGAGATTGGAAGAGGAACCCTTTTTCTCTTGTCAGTTTGAGCGAGGCAGTTTGCTAAGAGAACCTTATTTCTCCCTTCCTTTTAAACCGTAATGATGATAATGATAGACAGCCATGCCACGCCAAACAAAATTCCTATACTTTTGTCTGGAGGAGGATGCGAGGATATGCAGGATGGGAGGGATGCTGGCAATAAGTATTGGTCTGGGCAACGCTGTTACGTAAAGCTTTGTTGTGGGCGAGTAGATATGTAGAAGAGTAGTTGTTGTTAAGATCGGCAGTATAAATCATGCATCATTATGATGGAAAATGCTGGACAAATAAACCATTGTAAGACACAGAGTAACAAAGTGAGCGAAGCAAAGCTATGGTTTGGGCATTAGAAATAGACATCGTTTTTTAAATTTTTAAATATTTTGGCAACTATGATCAATTGTAAAAAATAAGCTCGACCAACAGACGGATAAGCCGTTTAGATAAAGTAACCTTTGCTCACTTAATAAATTGTACAAGTTGAAGCTTCGTAATATGCATGTGAAAGCTTGAATTGCAATTTCAAGTTAATGCCATTATGCATAGTCATAAACCTGAAAAAAAGTAGTGATGAGATGAGACGATGAAAGTGTTCAAAATTTTCTGAAATTTATTTTATTCTTTCGAAATGCGATAAGCGGAGTAATCTACTAAACAGATTTTTTTTGTACAACTTAAATGATTGTGTTGAATTATACATGTTTTTTTGATAGAGATAAAAACTGTGGAAAAGGGGAGGAGAAGGAGATGTCATGTAAATATGAACATTATTGTGTTTTTTGTACTTACTCGAGTATTATGCACTGCATGTACATATCATGCGAGCAATGTTGAATCCAATGGCAGGAGAGACGTACACAGTTAATCTATGGGCTCATGATGAATAAGGAAGGATCCCTTTTTACTCGGTTTAGTTTTTGTAATGTGATCTTCTAAACGAAATAAGACCCAAGCCAACACATTAAAAAAAGTACGTGTAAAAAATTGGTGGTTGAAAGGTGCAGTTGTCCAAGTCGGATTACTTGCACTGGAAGAAGAAGGGATGATGATAGTAATAATGTCGATCCGTTCAACAACGGATCCATGTAGTTGATGCCAAAGGGGGTCCTTCCAATACTCGATAAATATTCGATACGTATGTACGGAAGTCGGTTTTAAAGATGCTTATTAATAGAAATGGAAAGTACACTTTGTTCCGAATTCTAAAAGTAGCTCAGCAAAAAAAAACTGCAGGTGAAGATGTCTACCGGTGCAAAAGTACCTATATTTACGGATACCTATTGACATTTCCAGCGTAAAAGCGGAAACGACACATGCATGATTTAATTGCAAGCTTAACCGTTAAATATCCAAGGAACTGTACAGCCTTTCTCTTTCTATTATAATTGCCATAATCAACGTACTTCTTTCTTGAGCCTCACACTAAATTGCATGCAGTTAATGGCCGGATGGATTAGTTAAATGAGTTTATTATAATTACTATACTGTCTCCTCAAAAGCTCACAAAATTCTTCTTTTATGCAGATGTCATCAGTCGACGTGCAGAACCAGGGACAGGCTTCCGGGGGGTCGAACAACGACCAAGGTCAAGGGGGTGGGGAACAAGTCGCTCAACAACAGCAGCAGCAGCAGCAACAACAACAATTACAACTTCAGCAGAACAATGCTGCCCAAAATGTTCAAGGGAATCAGCAACAACAGCAAATGCAACAGCTCCAAGTGATCCAACAACCCCTTCAAAATCAGGCTTATCTTCAACACGTGTACAACGCCCAGGGCCAACCACAACTTATCATGCAGCCCAGCAATATCGCTTTCAATCAGTTAAATCCTCAAATCCAGGTAAATTAACATGACTTCTTTGATGACTAAGAATAATAAACTCGATATTACATCATCACATTTGCCCATAAGTATGAGAGCATACACATATTTAATAACTTTCCTGCCATGCTGCTCTAACTACTTTTCCTTTTTCTCATCCTCCTGCCTGCCTGCCAATGATTATTGGTTTCATCCTCCATCATACATAAATGCCCACATTTTTCCAGCTTTGACATTGATTTATCGAGGTGCCACCAACCAATTACATAACCACCAGAATTGTCTTTCATTTCTTCCCAGATCTCTAGTAACCTCACAAATCTTTGAAATTATTTCAGCCAGCACAACTTGCTCCTTCCATTCAGGTATCACATCATATCTGATCTGATCCTTGCTATATACGCCGAATTAGCTAATTCTACCCCCGAATGTGTATTATGCTGCACTTGTCTAATGAATGCACTAACCTAAGATAGAGGATATACGCACGATGATCAATAATTATTAGTACTACTTATTTCTACAAGTATTGCCCACTTTGTGCTTTCCCTTCACATAATTTTAACCTCTGCAATTGCACCATTAAAATGTTGCTTATCTTTCTTGAAATCTATTTGCAGGTAATCACAGGAAAACCGTTCCAACCCAACCAACTCAGCAGTCCTCACATGCTCACCACAGCGAGTAAGTTTACGTTTCAGTCTCATTCTAGCCTTTTGCCAGAGAAGTAGTCCTGCCTTGTTAGGTTTTGTAGTTAAAAATTAATATTGAAAATGTATAATTTTTACCCGCACCACCCTCACTTCTACCCGAACCCTCCTCCTCCTCCCACTAAAGCAGCCGGATACGCCACGATCCCCACCAGTGCGGCGAATAGCGCCTACATCATCGGAAATCTGGGACAACTCATCAATTCTTCACAGCAAAACATTCTCCAACACCAGCAGACAAACAAGCCTGGGGAAATGCAGAAGGTACTTGATAAATATTTTCAGGATTCTCATTCGTACATACAGAATTTGCATGCGCAATAATTTTACAACATTCCATTCCATCTATTTTACAAAGTTGAATATTGGCAAATAAGTAAGCATTCACCTCGGACATTTTTGTTTTAATATTGACTTAACTGAAATGCTTGGCTCCGTCGAGAGATGAATGATACGAGTCAGTCTAAATTAAACATGACGGCAAGCTAACCTATCAGCTTTAAGCCTACACAATCTCTATCTTTGAGAGAATTGAGTTGCATGCACATTAGCCATTTAATCAGTAGCATGTATTATCAGGAGTACATATATACATTAGCAAGATATGTACATATAGTATAAGACCGCTGCTTATGTATGGCGTTGCCAACCAAGCACCAGATGGATGCAATTGGCAGGTTAAGTTTAGTTTTTGCCATATACAACCTATGCATGTATGTATTATGTACGTATTTATATGTATGTTGTACACACGTAAATATGAGATGCGATGTGACACGGGATGAATATGAAATAAAAGCAATTCAACTTGTTGTTAACTTGTTGAACGATACGATATCATATCACAGCCCTCAAAGCATGAGACCACTACCGACCCATACATGCACACATACGTAGCGAGTGCTTCTTGACGATAATACACGAGTTCAGTAATAATAATAATAATTATATTTTGCTAACACATTTGTCTTTTTTTCTACCTGTGTGCAGGTGATCCAACCACAAATCACTCAAGCCCAGTTGCAACAAGGGGTAATCAAAAATATTTAATGATTTCATTAATCAATATTTTATAACAATTTGCCCACTTTTTCGTGATGCCAGTAACATATCTATGGACTTTAGTATAACGGTTAATTGTTATTTTTTAGATAACGTGGGCACCCCAATTATTTCAAAATCTCCAAAATCCCATCTTTATCCGGGGCACACAACCGGATCAACAGCCCATGTTTATTCAACAGCAACAACCACTTCATAATAATTCCGGATCTCACCAACAGTTCACTATGCGTGAGTAAAATAGTAAAATAATACAAACCAGATTAATGCTTGGAGTTATTAGAGGACGACGACGACGACGCGTTGTGCATTAAGTTTTCTACTGGGCAGTAAAAGCAGTAGTTGATGTATTCATTCATTCATTTATGCAATATGCAGAGAAAGTGTATATCTTGCCAAGTTTGGTATTTCCTACACTTTCTGCGAGTGCTGCATGCAAAATGCGATACGCTAGCCGACTATTCCTTATTATTTACACAATCAAATCAGTGGTTTGCCCAATACCCGAAATATTGATCGTCGTCCTTGCCAATTTGACACTGGCACAAGTTTCCTTCCTGCTGTATGCACTTCATGCATATCTCTGTGTGACGCATAAGGCTGATGTGTCACGACATTTTCTTCTGCAACTATATATTATGTATAGAATCGTTGTTGGTTATTTTAACGAGGCGTTTTTCTTATCTCTCATACATATCTAGCGCTCACTGCCACAGGTCACACCACCACGTCAAACGGTCTCCAGATCTCGCAACAGCAACAGCAGCAAAATCCACAAACGTCTCAGTCGGCACAATCTGTGATGTCGGTGCAGCAAAATCAAACCCAATCAGGAAATGGAAGTGTGACCTTGACTCCAATGAAGGCTCCAGGTGAGCAAACTTCACTTGATAAATACCGATAATGGCACGTTAATAAAGTAATAAATATTTATCTCTTTCTCTCCAATAAAAAGGTCAAGCAAACCTTCAACCGAAACCGCAACCACTCCAAATCCAACCTAGTCCTACCAACCAAACCAATCAGCAACAGCAGCAAGCCACGCATCATCAGCAACTGCAAAATGTGAACGTATCCATGGGGGTTGGTGGTCCCCAGTTTCAAATGATTCCTCAAAACTCGCAAGCCAATGTGCAACAGATTCTTACTCAGAATGCGCAAGGCCAGCTCACAACCCAAGTCATACAACAGCAACAGCAGGGAGGTCAAGGGCAACCTCAGCAGCAGAGACATTTGACTATCCTCCCCCAACAAGGTGGGGGACATCAACAACTCACCTTCATCCAGCAACAGCCTCAACCCCAACAGCAACAACAGCAGCAGCAACAACAACAAATCCGACCAAACTACACGGTCACAGCAGCTTCTCCTATTATTCAGCAGGGCGGAACTCCCACGACAGCGACAGCCCCACAGCAAAGACCCAAAATTAGAAAGCCTGGCGTTGGACGGGGAACCGTGAACCAAAATCAGGGTCAAAATGCACAATCTCCCAACCAAAAGGCCATGTACCCCAGACCAACGATGCCAAACGCTGTAGGCCAAGGAGGGCAGATCCAAGTGAAATCAGTGGGACCTAATCAACAAGGTCACGGATCCCAAACGGGGGCCACGATTTCAAGGATAGCAGTGGCAAATGCTGGTCAGCAGCAACAACAACAACAGCCCTTGAAGACAATCAACTTGTCTGCACTGCACACCCCGCCCACTTTGCCCGACGCCACGTTAACACCTCTAATCCCACAAAGTAATCAACAAATAACGGCAACCTTAATTCCTCCCCCAACTCAACAACTGCAACTCTTTACAACGACTCATCTGCCCACTCCAAATATTTCTATTACACCGGCTCCTCTACCAACTAAGAAGGATGAAAGTGGTGGTGGTGCAGAAATGGGTGGAGAGCATAGAGGGTAATTTAATCAGCAATTTTTCAGTAAACGTTTCGAGTCTTGTGGATAATTATAATTTGTAAACTTTTTTGCTTTGCAGAGAGACTGAGAAGGAAAACACAAAGATGAAGCAATCTACACAGTCTTCCGAAGATGATTCCAAGCAGAAACTGCCCAAAGCAATGGTGAAACCGCAAGCCCAAATTCTGACCCATGTTATTGAAGGTTTTGTCATCCAAGAAGCTGGTGAACCGTTTCCTCCCGTCCATAAAAATGGAGAGTGTGACGAACCACCGAGTAAGTTTGATGATAAAATTGAGATTATGCTTCCCATTTTCATGTAAGTAAAGCTTACTGAAATTATACTTCATTTTACAGAAAAGAAATTGGCTCTAGCCCACTTGGGACAAGCTGGTGGAGAATTTGGAAAGTGCGAAATGTGTGGAAAGCTTGACCTAAAGTCGAAATTTAAAAAGAACAAGCGTTTCTGTTCATCCGCCTGTGCTAAAGGAAGCAAAGCTCAGTCCCAACAACAAAACAATGTCCCACAAGTTAACAATAGTAATAATTCCAAGGCGGCTCGGAACAATAAGAAATGGGTACGCATATTCTTAATAAATAACAAATTGATGACTCTTTCTTTGTGACTCGTTAAACTATAGCAGAAACTTGTTGTTTCTTTATGCAGGTTGAATCAGGGGATGGAGAATTGACTGATGAAACGAGCAGTTCCATGGGGGATACCACCTGTTCATCTCCAGCCATTCATGACGAACCTGACCCAAAAATGAATCCCGTTAAGTGGAATGTTGCAGAAGTGGTACGTAGAATCACCATATTCCGCCAGTTATTCTGAGTCTTTTTAATTGGAATTTACATATTTGTACAGGTTGACTTTGTTCGTTCTCTTCCTGGATGTTCTGAATATGCTGACGATTTCGCTGTACAGGAAATTGATGGACAAGTAAGAAATCTCTTTAAAATATTAATAATACCTTGTATGTGAATACAAAATTAATTTGATGTACGAATCGTGATCTGCTTAGGCTCTCATGCTTTTGAAGGAAGACCACCTCATGTCCGCCATTGGCATGAAGTTAGGCCCAGCGCTTAAACTATGTGCTAAAATTGAGGCGCTTCGTATCGCAAATTCTGGAGGGGATCAAAGTTCTTGTAAAGCTTAATTCAATCCATCTTTACTGCATTCAACAATAGCTGATAATATGAATTAGTTTGTAAGTTTGTTAAGTCTGTGTTCACGTAGCTAGTAATATTTTTGGACTTGCATAAACATAGTAAATTATTGTAAATTATTGTGTAACTTATAATTATAAATTTTCGATAATACATGTGTATTTTATTTGCTCATATTTTTATACTAAATGTCTACAATTAGTCAACGTTTTTTTGACGAGTCAAAATAAAATTGAATAAAACCTGAAATATACATTTCCAGGATTAGTTGACATTTGCTTAATTGTGTAGTTTTACGTAGAACGTCTATCAATTAATCATGCTCCATTATAACCGTATTTACCGTAATGTGAGTGCTTAACATTTCAATGAAATTAGAACGGCTTAGCAACACTGGTACAAACAAAAGTTTTAAAACGTTCCATGATGACGTCCAATTGTGGAACTATCTCATCTCATCTCATATCGTAAAATCAGGAGTGAACCGCAAGGAATAAGTTATCCTTAACATCAATCATGTCTTTCCTTCGATATTCAGGTCGGCCTTATACGGTACGTAATTTTACTCGTTTCGTAGAGATTGTCAAAAAACCACATGAACAAAGTTATTCACAAAAATTCTAATTCAGAACCAAAGCCGTGAGGAACAATTTCTTCGCTACTTTCGGGACTCGGGAGCCTCACAAGCACTCCAAAAGGCGATGATCCTCCTCTTCAAAATGCCTATAAAACCTACAAACTTGGAAGAATTTTTTGCAGAATATTTGGATAACGGAGCTCGTGATTTAGTCCAACTCAGCCTTTTAAAGGCAGAACTATGCTACAAACACTCCGAGGTATTTAGGCTACCACGCTAGTTACTCTCAATAGTTATTTTTTGGAAAATACTTTTTTTTGTAGACTCAAAATATGCATCGAAGTATAAAGCATTTGCAGAACGAGATTCAGGTATTCGAGTCGAAAGGGTACGGAAAAAACAGACCAAGTCGTCCGGAAACCATTCTTGAAGAAAATATTGCTCCAGGCCCCGAGAAAAACGCTCCACTTTTCGGAGACGATCAACAATATCGGTTCAGCGTTCTGGAACGATTTCTTGGAGATTTAGATGGAGCATCGCAAGGACGACCTTCCGTCGCAAATACGGATGCCAATGTGGAAAGTGGAGACGAAGAGGAAGAATCACAAGATTGGACTAACAACATCAAAAAATTGGATCCGTAATTTATTTTCCATCGCATATGTATCCATAAAGATATTTTGTGCATAAGTAACAGAAGCACTATACTCTAATCCAGGTGGGGAATTGTATGCACGACGAAAACAATGAACGTTCGACCCTCTGTCGCAACGGAGGACGACATGATCACCAGTCTCCAACAAGCTGACGATGCTGGTGGGAATGGAAATAGGAAAAGTAGTACAGGAAATGGGCGAGCATCTCTGGACCAAGCCGACGTAGAAGGCAAAGAAGTTATGAGCGAAATTGTGTCCTCATCCTCGTCCCGAAGTGATCCAGAAGACATGAAATATGCAGAGTCGGATGAAGCCGAAACCCTTGCAGAGATTTATCACTCTTACGCCACTGCTTTTGATAAGCATGCGACCTCGCGGAGACAAAGTGACGACCCGGTTCAGCGGAGTCTCAAAATGCCGATTCATCACTTATACCGACACACCCACCATTGGAAGAATGACATCACAATTCCCGCTGATAAGGAAATGGACACAAAATTCTTATCTGTGGCCCAACCCCCCAAAGGAGCCAGTACACCCACTATTCCCAGCAAGCTTGGTGAAATGATGGGATGGTCTCGCTACTTTTGTAACACAAACACCAGTGTTGTTGAGGACCAGCCCACGACCTCTTCAAAATCCATCTCGCTCAACAAGCCTTCCATCTTCCCAAAACCAAACTGGTCACAATTCACCGAACTTTACAATGAAGATGATGATGCAGACGACGACGGAGGAAGAAATGTGGACCCCTGTCTGCAAAATGTCGATTTCTACAGCCACCTAAAATGGCAGGATGACGATACCAAGAATTTTCCAATCTCTCCAAAAGACGAAAGTTTTCTCCTCGATTATGAAATGGCTCGTATTGCGAGAAAAATGGAAAACGACGACCCCGGATTTATGTTTGAATTCTTGCAAAAGTTTGAAAACGCAACTCCGGTCGAAAAAGATGGAATTTGTGGCCAGTGCAAAAAATGGAAGAAACCGAAATCATCACCTACTAAAAGACGGATCGATGCAGCTACAAGCACAACTGAGCTGGATGTTTGCCAATGTGAGGATGATTGTCCTTGCGACTTGCCACCACCACCCTGGTCAAGCAAATCTTCATTGCGTCAACCTGGAAAAATGACAAATTGGACCAAAGACTATGCCGAATATCCTGGGGAATACGAAGTTGGTGGTGGCGAGGGTGACTATGCTGGAAAGATGAAGTCAAAAAAATCTCCCACGACCACTTCATTAGGACAATTCCTCCACGAGTTCATGGACATGGAGGACGTCATCACACAGGTCAAATCCTCTTGCGAATGTGGCCTCGATGACGATGATGACGACGAAGACGACACCCTTCTCTATCCCGACGAGTGTGAACATTACTGTAAAATTTCTGCCGCTTCAGAAGAAGATGACGGCAAAGAGCAACGGGGTCGACAACAGTCAAACGTAGTGAAGCGCGTCAGCGGTGATGGAGAACGAAGAACATCCATCGATCCAGAACTGGAGCGATCCTTCCGAGAGAGTGGAGGTTATGCGATGGTGCAAGAGTTGAAACAACGACAAAGGGACAAAGCATCGTCAATAAGTCAACAACCACAAAATGATCTGGATGCTGAACTCCAGCAGCCAAAGTTCCCTTCGGAAGTGTACGAAACTCTAGATTTGAACGTCGAGGTCAAGAAAGCGTTCGGAATCGACTAATCAATATTAAATGATAATTAATCTAAACATAATATCGACCTAAAATCATGATTATGGCACATAAGATTTTCCAGTACATACATCTTTACCACTACTCACTATTGCTTATCATGAAAATACCGATAACCTAATTTTCGAAATAAAGTTAATCATTTTGTTAAAATTTATAAATCTGATTAGGAAAATTGGGATTTATTTTGAGAGTGAAGAAACATGATGATCAGAGGTCATTGACCGTGAGAGAAATTTTCAGGTTTCGTTTTCAGCAGGTCGGAAGAGTCGGTCTCTGGAAAAAGAGTCAGTTTTTCAGTCGTTTTCTCACCTCCACAGAAGCGCATCATAAAACACCTCTTCGAAATCTCCGTTTTCTAAATTTTCGAACATTATCATAGCATCGCAATTACTAAACTTGAGGAGCAGAAACCCTTGGTAAGCTTGATTTTGTATTAATTTGTAGTACACACTTAATTCTTACTTATTTTGATTCATACTTGATATTTTTTCATTGGACTTCTCCCTAAAGGTCAAATCAGTACTTACTTTCTAGAAATGAGCCAGTGGCAAGCTGAAGGAATGGGGTACACGGAAAATAACGTAATTCACGTTGAAGTTCGAGACATGTGGAAGTTTGAGGAAGTGGAGACTGTTGAGTCGTCTGGAAGGGGAGCAGGACCTTCAGTTCCGGTAATGACGATAATCGATGAGTCGGAGCTGGGTGGACAGAAGTTTGTCGAGCTGTGCGACATTTCCGAGTTGGATGCAGTACCACCTCCTGTTGAAGGGGATCTCGGGGGATGTACTATTTCACACCAGGATCAACTGGTATGCATCAGTTAATGATATTTCTTTGCGGTAATCACATACATACGTATGTGCAATTCACAAATTTCTAATTTCAGAATAATGCTGAAAATGGATCGGTGTCACAAGGTGTGTTTCAATGTACAATGTGTCCAGAAGGCTTCGATAAAAAATTGCTCCTCAACAATCACATGAAGAAAAAACATGGAATTAATTTTGTGTTCACTGAGAGGGGGTGAGTGACCTGTAGTTCATGGTTCATTCAGTTTTACTATTTTAGGTGAAGTCTTAAATTAACGAAAATGTGTAATATTTAGTCGAAAAGTGAAATTGGTACGATTGCCGGAAGAAGACACACCAAAGGGAAAGGGACATGCTAGTACTTCAAAGGATGTTGAACAACAGCGTATTTGTGAAGTACTTGAAAATAAATCTGATGAAGATGAGGTGAGTTAATGGAAATAATGATTGAGAAGTGTCTATACGTTTAATATATAACTTTGAATTGGTTATATCGTATTTCAGGAAGGATCTGGTCAAGGGCTTGGGTGTGGTTATGCCGTAAAAGTTGACACTCCAGCGTACCATAAGGCAATAGAGAGGAACGAGATCCCATTTGCGGCATTCTTCCCTATAAACTCGAAGACAGGGTACTTGCTAAGGGTGCAAGAATACGGACCCAACAATAATGTGAGTGCAATTATCAGAATTATTCATTATATTACTTTGTATAATTAAGTATTATTAATTATTATCACTAATAATTGGATATATTTTGCTATTTACTAAATATTTGTTCTTTGTGGATAGTTATTGGACCCAGCTAGCAGGAATGATGTCATCAGGGCGTTTCAATATCACAGACAAATCGGTTCATCTTACACGGCAGGAGACTTATTGCCAATTGTTGCATTTGTTCGTCAATATTACAACCATACCACGCGATCAACGGATATTAGCATTTGTTCCCCGGAGAATATCCCCGACTTGGAGATGAAGTATATAAGTCAAGACAATTTCACCACTATTGCTTTTGCAAATCCGGGAAACAATGTATCAGTATGTACTAATATTCTTTATTTTGCTTAAAAAAATATGGCTATTTCGAAATAAACTTTGCAATGTAAGGGTGCTAACATATTCGATGATTTCATTGCATTATTAGAGCTGTGATCCTGCCGACGATGAAGAGATGGATGATGAGGATCCACTACCACCACCCACACCAAAACCAAAACGACGAGGTCGAAGGACAAAGAAGGAAATTGAAGAGGCAAAAATGAACGCGATCAAAGCCGCACAGCCACTGCTAGCCACATCGTCCAACGCTCATGTGGAAAAGAATGATAATCTGCAAACTGAGAACGCTGAGGGGTCAAACCTTGGAGGTGATGAGGGCCGAGAGGTGACACCAACTGCAGCTGTAAATGATAATGCAGACAACATGCCGAAACTAATTCCTGAGGTTTTACAACCGTCGTTGGATGTGGTAGAAACACATAACCCACCAGGTATGATTAAAAATCAGTTGAACATTCTTAAATTTAAATAACTAATTTATAAAAATATTTATTCACTAAGAAATGCCACTAGTGGAGTCAGATCCACTACCCCCAATACTCACACAGATGAAAGTGAAAGTAGAACGCACAGATGAAGAATCAATGCATTTGGATGAATCAGTTTTACCCGTCACTCCATCCAAAACAACAACTCCAAAATCACGAAAGGGTGATGGCAAAACTGGCAAAGGTCGAGGACAAAAGCCGAGGTCAACTTCGAAATCAACGGGACTTTCTTCTCCCAAAAAACCAAATTCTGCCCAGCACGTGAAGATTACAAACGTGAAGGAAGAACCAATGGATCTGAGCCAGAATTCGAACACTCGCAATGATTTTGAAGATGGAAATGACAAAGATTTTGTTCCATCGATTACATGCGCTCCGAAACGACCCCCACCAACAGGTCCAAAACGACGAGGTCGCCCACGTAAACTCAAGTTTGATGAATGTAGCGACAACTAAAGTCAAATCAATCTCTCTTCGCCTCCATCATCACACATTTCCCTCAGAATGGAATTATTTATTTTCAATTCAATTTATTTATTTACAGTCAAGAACAAGTCAGTAGTAGTACAGCCATTTAGTTTGTTCATTGCAATCGCAATGTCTATAATTTGTGCATAAGTTATGTATGTAATAGTTAATAACTATTTTAAAGTAATGTTGGCAAAATTGAATTCTCAAAATTTGAATTGTTGGAACTTGGAAGCACATTATATAATTTTGGCACAGTAATTCACTTGTATCAAAGTCTTAGTTTCTATCATCTTCGTAAAGATTATAATAATATATAACAATATTCTACTACGTTATGTAATTAAATACTATTTACAGTCAAATAATAAGCATCTAAATAAATGTAATGCATTTTATTATTGTAATAATTATTGTGAGTCTGCATATATTTATGTATTATGAGTAAAAGCGTGGAAATCAATATCATTTAATTATGCTCGTTTCTTCTACTAAAGGGAGGGCAGCCTGGTGGATACGAATTTGGCCTTGAATAACCCCGGAACGGTTTGTCGTAGCGGGTCAAAATTTTGAACAGACGAGCATGTTATCCTCAGATAGTTGTGTGTAAAATTTCAGCCCTCTACTTTCAAAAATGCCTCCCGTACAGCCCCCAGAAGTTGAGACACTCATTTCAATTTTTTCCAAACTCCGTCTAAAAAATTCGGTCTCCGCAGAAAGAATTTCTTTTTAAGTATCCGAACCCAAAGAAGTCTATTTGACTTATATCAGGGGATTGTATAGGTATTTCACTATTCGAAATGATTTTTATTCCTAATCTAGCTTCAAGGTCATTTGCATAATCTTGGGTCAACTTTATCGTCTGGGAAGACGCTGCGTCACGATAAAAATTACCTTATTTATTTTTTTACCGTGCTATTTAGGAAAATGTTACTCTAAAAGTGGTTTCGAGACACGGTCAGCATATTGCTTTGCAGATTTCTTCACTTTTTGGGGGACTTTGATACGTGGGAGGACACCACGATCGGACATTGCACCCACAACTTAAAACTGTTTACAAAAGTTCTCCTCACGGGGAAACACCAAATTCCGTGAATTTTTTTTCGGCATTTGTCGTGTAGTAAGCTCTTCGAGCTCAATTAGTAACTTGTAGAGAAAATAGTGCTTCGTCAAATGTGACAAATAACTCACTCCTATTCCTCAACAGAAAATTTAAATAAAATTTTTTGTAAGCACGAGCCAGATTTTTTCTGGAACTATTTGAAATGACTATCTCAGCTTCTGGGGGCTGTGGGGCAGGCATTTTTCAAAGTAGAGGGCTGAAATTTTGCACACAACTATCTGAGGATAACATGCTCGTCTGTTCAAAATTTTGACCCGCTACGACAAACCGTTCCGGGGTTATTCAAGGCCAAATTCGTATCCACCAGGCTGCCCTCCCTTTGGTAAATATATTTATTATGCCTTAGACACACCTTCTTCGTTGAATGCTGGCTGCTTCTCACGGACTAATTTATTACATATAATTTACTACATAGTCTACACCCTACAATATAATGCTGTCTGTCATATGCAGCAATACATACATAATTACCTTATTCGTACTCAAAACCGTTTCAAGGAATAAATGGAAACTTCAAACAATCGGAATGACAGGGATTTAAATCACTTTTCTCTCGGGAAGTATAATAAATAAAGAATAATATTACTAAATAATTATGATGCGACAAAATCGTATAGTATTTTATGAGGAAAATTGGCTGGACATTTACTTAAATACCGACGACGCGACGACTCTCTACAAGAAGACATTTATTACGTAAATATATGACACCACACACCACGAGACAGATGAAGACAGATTTCTAATTGTATGTAATTAATTCAGAGAGTATTTATCTATGTATGTTAAATTTAGTAGTAGTGGAGTAGAAATATTTTGAAAAACATTCGGCATCACATTCCATATTAAGGACTATTTTAATAATATTGTCTCAAGTTCGTCATTGGTTGTTTTGTTGGTTGGTTTCAATTGGTTGCTGCATTATATTAATTAGTTTAGTAGTAATAGTTTCAGTTTTGTTTACTCGCACTCAAAATTATTATTTAGAAAATGATAAAATAATTAACTATACATTTAAAACAACACCATGCTGACCACATTAACTATGTCATGTTGGTTAAATAAGTTATTATGTTATGCTTGCATTTGCATGCAACTAGTAAAAAGCTCTCTCTGGATTTAGCAGTGGTAATAAAAACTATAAAAATCTGTCTGACTATGAAAACTGATTGTTACACATTCATCTCTGCTGAATGAAAGCTTGACAATTAAATGAAATTGCACGCAAATTATGTAAATGATTGAAAAGCAGGATTCTTCCGCAAATTAATAAATTCCGCATGTACTGCACTGTGTAAAAAAACTAGAAACTGATTAACTGATGTTGGAGACTAGGGTAATAATATGTAAAAATTAATTATATTCGTATTAAATTATAAGATTATGCAATCATGGCTTTGGAAAATTAACTGATTGACAAAATCATGATAATAAATAATAATATAAAACGGTAACTTTTCCACCTTGGTTTTGTGGGGGGTTCTCGCGAACTGGTAAGTTAAATATTTAAATAAAAGTCTCAATTGCGTCTAGTTTCCCTTTGAGCATACGCGTTGCATAAAAATTGGCACACAAGTTAAAAGATAAAAGCTGTACAGATTTGAATCTAGATTGAACAGCTCGTTATACTGAAAATATTATGTATGATGAGTAATAATTTCATTCTGTTGACTAAGCAATTAATATCTGAAATGACAAGCGGTTACATAATCTTACTAAATAAATCTTAGCTTGTAATATTTAGATTTAATATATCATCTCATCTCATCACTACCTATTTCTGTTTCCTACAATACAATATGCCAGACCAGACCAGAGTCGTCGTCATATTATGCTCTATGTTCCACTAATTTTGAGTATTTTCCACAGGTACCCCCTGAATTTGAACGTATTTTTCCAGACCGAATAATAAATCAATCAATGTTAAATGTTAGTAATTCTGTTAAATTTTTGGCACAAAATTTACAACTTTCATACACACACATGTAGATACATGAATATTATGCTTTAATTCTACACTATGTGAGTACATATACTTTACCTAATTCGTTGATTCTTTCATATCTAAATTCGATGCATAAGTAAAGTAGCACAGTTTTTAACACAACTAAATATGTATGTATACCTAGTTTGTTTGGTAATATCCTCATTTTACATATATATAATTAGAATTCGTTGTGGTGAACCTGGCTCAATGAGTTGTGAAAACTGCATTGTTTGGCACATATTTACTAAACACGATACATAGACACTAATTTATATTATCTAAATACTTTCGTTATAGTTGAATATATGTATTTAATCTAAATACGACCCGAACTACAATACAACAAGGAAGAGTAAGAGATGAGAACTGCATAAAATGTTTGCTAACTATTTTTCATTTCGTTTACAACAAAGCGCCCATTCCTTATCTTATAAAAGTCTGCGCGAGAAAGGACCGACTTTCATGAAGAAAACTGGATGGAGACTTGTAGGCCTTTGAAACTTTAAGACTAATAAAACACGACGAGATTACTTACGAGACTTTGATGGTTAGATAATGCATGCGCGTTAGTTACATAATACCATCTATGGCTTAATAACCATGCAACATGTAGCTACATACATAGTAAATATTCCTTATTATTATCTGTACTGAGAGTAGTTTGTGGTATATCAGATCCGTGAGTGAAGAGCGTCATAGTTCTAAAATACGTACTTTTAATGAGGTGGTGGTGAAAGGAGTCGTAGTGACGATGATGCGTCGGGTGGACACAATTGGTTCAGAGGCGAAGTTCGCATTTCACAGGAAGTTGACCTCCCCCATTGTCGACGCCACCACCGCCACGACTTTGTGGTTTACAGTATGCATAACGATGATTCATGTGTTGACTGTAAGACCCTGAGTGAGAGAAACGCTTTCCGCACTTATTGCACTGGAACGGTTTTGCTCCTGTGTGAAGTCGGAGGTGTTCAGTTAAGTGGTGTTTATGTTTGAATGCTTTTTCGCAAGTGTTGCACTTGTAGGGCCTTTGACCTGAGGAATTAAAAACACATCATTAGTATACAAATTGTTTGTATGCATTTGTACATTCTGAACCAAACCGTGCACATTTTTGTCATGTTATTATGAACTTACCTGAATGTTCATATTTGTGCCGAGCAAGTGAGCTTTGTTTGTTAAAGGATTTCTCACACTGGTCGCATGCAAACTGTCCATGTTCATCCGGCATCGAACCAATTCCACTATTGGTCGTAGAATTGGTGCTACTCGAGTTGACACCATTTCCATTCGTTTTACTCACACCATTGGATTTTCGTTTTTTGGTGGGGGTTTGTGCAAATGCGGGATGAGAACGTACGTCAACCAGGGACAAACCGTTTACGTTCTCTCCGGAAGCAATGAGGTTTAGAGGGGAATTGGAGTGGTTGTTGAATCCGTTAGTGTTTATCCCGGGACTGTTGCTGTTGGACAGAGCTAAAGTACAAGAAGCACGCGTTAAAATATGTACGTATATACACAGTTCCTCAGTGATGATAATACTAACTTATCTCACCATTATTAGAAAATAGGAGTGGCGACGACGAGGGTGCTGGTGGTTGAGAGAGTATCTTGGCGAGACGAGACGACGAGTGTTTGGGGCTGGAAGAATTTCCATTCAGGGTCAGATTAAGGTGAAGAGTTTCTTCAGACATGGCAAACTTGAGGGATGTTGGGGTCACAGTGTTGCTGCTACTCATTTTTGGGCTGGAACTTGGTGATGCCTTCTGCAAATATTTAAATTATGACATGTCAATTGATAATATGACTAAAATTTATGTATTTGTTAAAGTAAATGTTACCAAATTAAGGGGCTGGCTTCCATTACTGCTATTGAGACCATCTTCATCATCAGAACTGACCATGTCTGAATTTATCAGAGACGGTCTTGGAGAATTTGACGGTGTGGATTTCTTGGTGGTCAAATCCAAGGGCTGTTCACCTCTTCCTTCACCCCCACCGACAGAGTTATCCTCGGGCTCGGCGTCGTCTATCGACTCTGCTGAAGTGTTTCTCATCAAGTTCCATCCAGCTAGACCAAGCCCCATTCGAGAAACGGATGGGAAGCTGTTATACAAGGCGGCTGCAGACATGACGCTGGGAGAAAGTCTTCCACTTCCATGTTGTTTGGAATTATATGAAGAATTTTGTGGGGGTCGACCTTCTCGACGATCGCGAGCACGAGAATTTTGGAACCACACCTGTGCATAATATACAGAAAATAATATATAGAAATTGCTCTTGCTACACATATCCGTCAAACACAAGTTAATTCCATCCGTGTAACCTGAACAACTCTCAAGGGCAGAACCAATTGCTGAGCCAGGGACAAGAGATGCTCTCGTCGAGGACGTGTGTCGATGGCGTAATGATGTCTCAAAATTGCGAGCTGAGACTCACTAAAGAGTGACCGAACTCTGGCTCTTCTTCCTTCATCCTTCATATCCGTGTTACTCTCGGCTACAGAAAAATAAAATTGACATAAATACTCACTCTACAGACACAAACTTGTAAATTCTCTCTGATAAAAATCATTTCGAACTTACTCTGCTCACCAGACTCATTCTCACTCTGACTTGAGGGAAACTCGTCCACATCATCAGCCCCAGATTCATTTTCTTCCTTAATAAATTTTTGCTGTTGTAGTTGCTGCTGCTGCTGTTGTTGTCTTTGCTGACAAAGTTCCAACTGCAATCTTGCAGCCAATCCTTCAATTCCATTTTTCTTTTTGAGATTCAGACTCTTGAGTAGGCTCATTTTCCTCTTTTCTTCATCCTTACTTTCCTCGTCGTCATCGACCGAGTTGTTATTATTATTTTGGAGTTGTATCTGACGGAGCTGTTCTTCCTCGTCCTTGTTGTAAGATGATGACTCTGATAATCTCCCAATTCCAAGGTTTGACCTTGAGCAGGGTTCCTCCTCTTTGTCGGAATCCTCCATCATGTCCGGACCCCGAACCCCTCCATTCATAAAGTGACAAGCCTGCAAAAGTTGTTGTCTAGTCACATTTGCATTCACAGTGTCCAATAGTTTTCTCACTTTGCTGTCCATGTCTTCCTGGTCTTCTTCATCCCCATCTTCCATACATTCCCTCTTGGGTATCACAGTAGACTTTCTCTCGTATGGCGACGGTGACGAGTCTTTTAGTTTGATCATCTTCAAATCTTGAGGTTGGTGGTGGTGGTTGTCGTCATAATTGTCAATGTCCTTTGAATGAGATTGGATTTTTATGTCCAACTCATCGTCACGTTCTTTTTTAATTTTCTTTGTATTTCTGGAGGAGGAGTCGGACCTTCCCATTGTCCAGTCTGAAGGGGACTGGGACCTGGATCTGGACCGACGACGGGATGATTTCAGCTGGGGGTGGTGCTGATGATGGAAGGGGGCGGCGGGTGGGGAGCCGTTCTCCTTGATGAGGGATGACAAACCCAAGGGGTTCAAGTGTGCAAGGGACGAAGGTTCCATGTCCAGAGTGGCGAGTTGACGCAGGGGAGAATTTGCTGGGAGAGAGCTGAACAGGTTGGAGAGAGCGTAGGGGTTAGCGTGAGGAAGGGCTGAAGAGAAAATAAAAATGAACCACGTTATTAGTAAATAAATATGAATTTCAAGTAACTCATTATCGCTAAATTTTGAAATATGAACATGCTCTACTCACCTAAACCAGCAGCTGCAGCAGACGACATGAAGAAGGGATGGAAACCTGCGGCTGCAATAAAATCACACAATTTTAACAATGTCCATCAATATCTGAGTAGCGTAAGATCGCGGAATAAGTGACCACATCTAAGCGATTGTTACTTTCACCACCAAGTAACAATTGACAATGGAGGTCTCCTAGCCCAGCGTATGTTCACAGATTTTGACCAAGCTAGTGTAAATCGATCATTAATTTAATTAATGTGGAATTTGCAATCTCCTAATGCGCAGATTTGGCAGAGATATTTGCATCCGAAGAGGAGAAAACATGTCATAAAGTTGACAAATTTTGCTCTTTCCTTTTCTCCTCTTCGGATGCAAATATCTCGGCCACACCTACGCATTCACCAATCGTGTCGTTTGCAAATTTCATCTTAATTAAATTTGTTATCAAGTCCTACTAGTTTGGTTAAAATCTGAAAGCCTACGCTGGGAGACCTCCCTTCTGAGAGTAAAAAGACAGACAAGAGAGACAAGAAATTCCAATCCAATTTCGGACACAATGATAATGTCCTGAACGGAATGACTGAGAGAAACGCCATAATCGTAATAATCCTGGTGCTGTTAAGAATGTGGGGTAATTACCTGCTGGAGGGAGGAATGGCGTTGAGGTTGGTGGTGAGGTGGATGGATACTCGTTCCCTTTATAGCTTATCATTGCATTATTGTCATTCGGACTAATCGGCGATTTGGTCACCAAGTTCCCTGCTGCTGAGAGCAAGGCATGATGTCCAGGGAAAGATGAAGATGCAGTCGTCCCTTCGTAGCTTGCCGTGGAGCTACTCGAGCTGATTTTCTTGCTGTTTCCAGACGGAGTAGACCCCGAGGAAGTGGCTGAAGTTCCTTTCGTCTCAGAGGAACGGTTGTTGCGACCGAGCTAGAATGTAATGTACAAGAAAAAAAATGAAAATAACCCTGCGTACAGGAAACTTCTCACCCCGAGGCGCATAGTTACGTAATGGGGATGAGTTTAGGCATAAAATAAAATGCACATGGAACGAAACACACCTTTAAGTTCATAATCAGACACTTTTTTGATGTCATATGAGAAGAGTAGGATCCCGAATGAGAAAAACGCTTTCCACAGTTTGTACACTCGAACGGCTTTTCTCCAGAGTGGATTCGAACGTGTTCCTAAAAAAATTAGACAATTATTAGTAAAACAGACAGTAACAAGACAACTAATATATGTGAAAATCATGCAGTGATAAGTAGTGCTTTTGAGCAAAGAAATAAAATAAATAAGTGTATCATAAAAGCATGCATATTCCAAGACCGGACAACTTGAGACAAGAATAACAACACATTAAGAACATAGTCGCACGCTTGCATCGTAAGAACAAAACAACTACAACAGCAGTATAAACATGGTTATTCATTAATACGTAAGAACTCTCTTTAATCATACTGTACAAAACTAAAACTTTGGATTAATGAGGGAGAGTTATGTACAAACACGACGTTTACGTAACACGACACGAGACTCGGAAGAATGGGGCATTTTGGGATTTCTGTCCTTTCTCAACTTTCTCTTCGTCTTCACGATACTGCTATTCTTTCAGTTTTTCGAATATTTTTATCCAGCAGCACTGCACACATTTCGAATGTGGTCAGTGATCTCTTGCGTAATTAAAACTTTAAAATAGACTCGAAATAATTATACAAGTTGCATTTTCTGGTCGTTCGAGTGGTAAAAAAAGTTCGAATCCCGTCACCAACAAGAATTACCCTTCTTACCATAATTACAGTATCATGTGGTAAATTCCTTACCAAATGAGAACTTAAGTACCAGTGCAATTTTCTGCTACACACACACATACACATCTCTATAAAAGTCGTTTAATTTAATTTAATGTAATGTGTATCGCGTAACGGTTATTGCCTTTAAAAAATTGAGCAAAATAAAAAGTGGTATGCGTGGCATGCTTGAGGAGACCTTACAGCTAGAGGCGCATGCAGTATGGCGTCATAAAAGTAAGAATTAGGGCCATTAACGAAACAAAATGCAAACATTCAATTCAATCTGGGCAAGAAGGTATTTAGGCAAATTTTTCTACAGTTTAATTGCCAATTGTTCATGCAGAGGAGGAAAAAAGAAGGGTTTAATCTTTAATTTAATGGGATGAGGGGATGAACCTTTAAATGATGTTTGAATTTGAAGGCCTGCTCAGTCGTCCATTTGAGAAAGATGGGAAGTGAATTGCATGTAAAACAAAAACATCATAAGAATCTGATTTATTTGGTCAACGATGCTCGCAGGGGTTCAATTGAAATGTGGACAATTGCTGCATTATCGTCGTAATAATTAAGGGGATAGGTTGAGACAATGTTTACCTTCTCGCAGTCGGGGCATTTAAATTTACGTAACCCTGCGGATTCGTCCTGAAATAAGGAATAAGTCAAGTATGTAAAATCAGGTGTATCTTGACGGTCTGAGGTTGGAGTCCAGATTGAGATTTATAATTTATCTGCCTACAACTACATGACACATTTCTGCTGTTTTTGATCACACGAATTATTGGACTTTCATTCGCTTTTATGCATACTCCGGATTTAATAAAATTCAATAGAAATGAGAGCAACTTACGTGGCTTATCATGTGTCTTTGTAAACGGTAGACGTTGGCAAATTGCTTAAAACAAATTTTGCACGACTGTAATTAAACGAAAGAAAAATGTCATTTATTAGTTCCAATATATTTATATACGTTTCAGGATGGATGGAGTGGAATATGATCCAAAAACGAGTAATCTGATCTATGAAAATCATAATGGAACATGAGGAACGTGACTTTGCATCGTAATTAAGGAAGGGACACGTTTAATAATAAAAACGATCATAAAATTAATGGATCGATTATAGGCACTCGACAATTTGGCCGTAAAAACTTGATTTCTCGTGAGATAGCAAGTCTCGTACGAAATACAAAATTGAGGTTGAGGCTACACTACCTGGCTCGGAGTGGGATGGGACACCTCGTGCTTCTCTAGCTCGTCCCTTCGACTAAAAGTTAGGCCACACTGGTCGCAGGTGAAAGGTCCGCGATGTCGTCCACCAGAAGGTAAATTTGGATTTGGGCTGAGTTTCGAGTTGGCCAAAACGCTTAAAGAGTCCGACAAGGAGGGGGATGAAGGGATGGAATTGTCATCTTTGGAAATCACCTCCGATTCACCACCAACAATGTTATTTACGACAGAATCTGAAATTGAGTAGAAAAAACGGGGTAATTATTACATTGTTTTTTTGTTATTGTTGCATGCAGACTAGGAAGTTTTCCATAGAAGACGCTATATCGAGAAGAGGTCATTTCACGATAACCACTAATCAATCAGCAGGCAGGCAAACAAGCTTGGAAGAAAAAACATTTATTTCCTGTTGGTGGAATGCAGGAAATGGATAATTTGTTCACGACATACGTAGATACTGACATCATCATCAGCCCAAGTTAATTGAACTTGGCCATTAGCAAAGCATTTAAATATGTACATGAAACTAATGTGAATCTCATTGCTAAAAGTTGGCAGCATGTATTTCACATTTTATGTCGAGCAAGGTGATCATGAAATACTAAATGAAACCAATGCATATGTTAACAGGCTAAGTATTTACAACCCAAAAAATCTTAAATTGTTTCCAAATCCTGTTCCAAGAAGTGGTGATTAATTGCTCATCGTCCCCTCTCAATAAAAATAAGCCAACGAGTATCATATCCTCCTCAATGTTGCCTTCTCCACCGGAACTTGTGTTTGGAGAATCAATCTTGTTCATTCCAAGAAGACAAGTTCCATCCACCCCAAACAGCAACACTTTGCTACTAATAAACCCTAATGACCAGACCAAATTGGGCTTACATAAAGTAGTGACTGACCCCTTATCATCACCAACTCTTAATTTGTGTGCCATGCCATAATTTAAGAAACGAGTACTCACTTCGATAAGCTGTCCAAACATGAGCAAGTCTCCAGAGTCGCATAGAAAACGCATTCGCACTGCCGAGAGCACTATCACCACCGTTATTGTTATTATTTGTGTAGCAGTCTAAACTCAACATGTTCCTCACCACCATCTCATGTTCCTCACTCAGGTTCAGATTACTACAGCCACCCACACTTGTGAACATGAAGGATTTTTATGAGGACTAGTTTTTTTTATTCATAAACCGTCACCACCACCACCACTTGGAAGATGAGATGAGATACAATTACGGCCCACATTTTGTAGTCCAACGAGGGTAAAAGTAGCACCGGGAAGTGTAACAGGTGAAAAAAGGGAGAAGGTGAGTCGAGCAACAGCGCGTGTGGTCGGACAGATAACGATCCACCAATGTTTCATTCACAAAAACCTGGAAAAGGTGAAAGTACTGAACTGAGCAGGTCTGACTGCTGAGGTATGAATGAGAGAGAGGTAAAGGTAGAAACTTTCTCCACTTTTTCCACTCTACACCTTCTCCAGGTGGGGGAAGGTTGTGTGTTCCTGCAATGTCTCAAGATTCCCCACGTCTTACTTTCACCCCTTATCCCAATGTTCACACAGGTCGCTCTGACTGCTACACCTTGGAAAAACACCTACTACTTTTATCTTTTACTTTCTGGTTGGGGCTGAACTATGACTTATTTTTGATTAGTTGATTGTCTATTATTCAAGGGATTGCGTGACTGTAGAATTGTTGTGTTACACCGTTCAAATTTTGGCAAATGGTTTAAAGCTTTTTTCTTAATATTTCTTTTCCACTTTGGTTTCACGTTTCTCTTTCGCTATGTAGTGACTAGATGAGAAGAGAGAGAGATGGATACAGAGAGAGAGTGAGAGAGAGACGAGAGAGCAGCTTTTTTGTGAAACAACCAGCAAGGAGGGTTGATACTTGCACACTGCTCAGACTTTGGTCTTCTGAGAGGGAAGCAAATGTGAAAAAGTCGACGGAAGCACACCACCAAGTTTCTGTTTCACTTTACTTTAAGTAGTAGTAAAGTAATGTAAGGTTGAACTGGTTTGGTTGGGTGACACAGGGCTATGCTTGGTTGCGACGGTGTGGTCTTTGTGTGTTGTACACATCTTTGTACTCTCTCTCGTAATATTCAGTGCAGGAAGAAGAGAACAGGGAGAGAGAGGACAGGAGGGGAAAATTGCTGATACATTATAGAATTGCGCACTGACTGATCCAATCTCAGAGTGAACCTGCTTTGCCTTCCTTCCTTCCTACCCATTACAAACCACGGCTGGACCCCTTCTACTTACGGGCGCATCTTTCTCATCTCTCATCTGGCAGAGGAGGAGGAGGACAACGAGACGAGGGTCCATTTATTTATTCAGAATTGGGTCGAGTCGCTCATATCTCGGGTGGGGAATAGACAGCCAAAGAGAGACACACACGTATGCAATTATTGTACCTTCCCCCCGGTCGTGCATGCATTTTTTGAGGGAAGGGAGGACGGGAGAAGGGATGCTCCCTTCATCTCCACATCAGAAACACAATCATCCAATATTTCATGGTGCAGTTGGGCAACCGAAAGTCTGCTCAGCATTGTACGAACTTGCACCCTTCTCCCATTTGGAAAAGGTAGTCGTGTGGACAAAATCAGGGTATTTCTTTCTCCTCGTTGGACAGAGAGGTGCAGTTAAATGGATAAATGCGATTATCTCCAGTTCAGCCAGATGAAGGATATACATACATGGAAATGGTTGTAATTGTAATTCTGCATTTTTTATGCTCCTACTCACTCAAAAATCCAGTCTTTGGGGAATTTGATACAATTTAAACGTGATTGTAAATAAAACCTCTACTTGAGCAGACGCTAACCATTTTCCAATTGTTGGATACTATTTATGCACAAATATGACCGTGCCACGTACCGTGTGTGCATAATCCTGTTGGCCATTATCACACCATTTGTACACCATTACGACTACACTACAGGATCAGGTACGAGAGCCACAACTTATCATTTTTCCAATAATGGCGCGTCATACATAAAGACATTAACACATCGTTTGAGTAAAGCTTGCGACTATTTTGGTCGAGTATTATGCATGCATTGCTACACGAATCACATTATATAAAACAATTTCACGGTAGAGTGAAACACCGGGAAACAACAACTTTCTGTATTTACGGCTACATGAGCAAGCATTAGGAGATGAGTGACGAGAGAAGAGAAAGTGGTGGTGGAGGAGGAGGAAAGGTATTAAAATATTTTGGACGATGAGGAGATGAGTCAAAAGATAGATGAGAGATGAAGATGCATGACGATATCGTACCACGAGGAATATGGCTGTACACGTAGTAACAGGTCTCCACCTAACCCAACTTTCCAACTTTACCACTCTGCCAGCCACCACGTTTTCATACGGAATGAAGAGTCAAGGCAGAAATTCTTTAATAACAAAATCAATATTGAAGAATGTGCTCAAACGTCTTCCCTCCAACTTAACAAAACTTAACAAATAATATTTCTACTTTCCCTTTTATGACGTTGTTGTTGCAAATATGTATATTTCTGTACCGATCTGTACGTACGTACACGCTCGATTTTTTTAGAAAAAAAAATCCTGAAGAGGAGAAAGGTTCCAAGCACAAGAGTATCACAACAGTAGGCGACGGTTATTGCAGAAAAACAGCCGTTTTACATACAGTCTTTCACTTTCCAGATAAACATGGAGAATATTATTCAATTTCGCCCCCAGCCAATATAAACGACCCATCCGAGAGCGAGAGTCTGTACAAAAAAGTATGAAATTGCTCCAAATTTCAGACCTTCTATTCCACATTTTTACCAACATGGCACGTAAAATGTGTACTAGGTGTAGCCATTCACTTCATCCTCATAGCATGCCAAGTTAGACAAGGTAACATCCGTCCAACGTGGACTGACTTTTATCCATCCGGTCCGAATTTCCACTCCGTTCACCGCCTGCCCACATTTCCTCCTTTCGCCGCATACCTTTCTCCATTTATTCAGTGTACATATTTCGAATATGCGAAAGTTGGCCAAATCAACCGAAGGGAATCCAATCCAGCACCACTAACACCAACCAACCAACTAAATCAAAGTTCATAAACTAAAAGTGAAGTAAATCTAACGTAACTACACCGAAACACTGGTCTCTCTCTCTCTACCTCGTCCAGCAGCAACCTAGGAACTTTGTTGCTGCTGCCTTCTCGGTTTGTTGGCTGGTGAGGTATGCACTCATTCAATAACATAACATCATCCTCTCTCTCTGAGTAAACCTGGGCGAGGAATTTTCTCCGGTTGGATATTAAAATACCATCCCATACACGGACCGGAATGAAGAAGGGATAAACTTTAGTGGAACGGTCTGCTCTTGGTCATCCAGCCAACCCACGGCTTTATTTCTCCTTCATTATTAGATGACCCAGGGGCAGGGAGGACGAAGAAAGGGTGAAGGCAGCAAAATAACTTGCATCCAATTTTGAATACTTTCCCTTCGGAAATATCCAACACACGTACGTTCAGGTCAGTCCAGCTTCTTCCCATCATCGTACAGAGCTATTTAACGTGGGAGAAAGGTAGGGAAATGGACATTGCTTTTCCAAAAATATCGCTGACCTCCCTCTCGTACATACCATCACCATATAATTAACGGATTCCACAAGACAAGAAGTATGTAGGAGTACGCACTTATAAAAGCAACATGAATCGTATTGCCTGCTCCTGTGCCAACATTGTCCATAATTTTACGCTCCCCACACCACAACTGGCTGGCTGGCTGGCTGGCGATGAGATGAGCTGAGAACTAAACTAATTGAAATACCACGACTCTTGACATGACTGACCATCGGAGGAGTAATGAAAATGAAATGAAAAGTCAAACAGTAAACAGCAGTAGCAAGCAAACCAAACCTGGCCTGGCTGCAGTAGTAAATACCAAAAAGGTCGTAAAATAGGACACAAAATGCCCACTTCCTCCATCCATTTCCCTCTCATGCTCGCATCCATCCACCATCAAACTACCCAAATCAAGCGAAATTCTATTAATCCCAACTGCAAACTCGATCCAACCGACCCGAATTTTGAATGAATTACGCTTCAAAATTAATTCACCGAGTGACCAAACCACCACACATCACATCACTGACTACTTGCCTTTCGCCTTCACCGGTTGTTTGCTCAAGGACCGCAAAAGGTTTCGTGCAACAACAAAAACGGAAAGGTAACAGTTGGCCGAATGGATTCATAATAT